GTACCTCCATTCTCATCGCCTTCCCACTTCTGGAACTGGCCATTCCACTTGGTTCTCAAAAACAAAAGCAAAACCATCATATGAAAGCATTATACTCTCTGCTACCTAACGGACCCAATGGTGTCCATATCCATTTCTCATCTGCATGATATGGAGCCCAACTTCCCTCTCTTGCTCAGGGACCTGATGTACCAACGATCATGGCCAACCCCCACTGTACTAACCACATTCACTTCTCCTCTCCTACACTATCTTATTAGTATTGGAACATGAGACTCAAGTTTTTTTCCATCTTAAAAAAAGAAATTCCCTCCACTATACACATTTCTACTGCGACAACCTCAGCCTTTGTCAGAGCCAGCTGAGTTGTCTGTATTTGCACACTTCATTTCTATACTTTGCCTTCCTCGTCCCACTGCAACCTAGATTTACCCTCATCGTTCCACTGAACTTGCTCTTGGTGCAATCACTAGATATGGCCAGGTTGAGAAAACCAAAGGAAGATACATATTATCTGTATCTTATTCCAGGATGCATATTCACTCCTCCCCCACATTTTAATGAGCTTCACCTTACAATCAATGCAACTGAAAACAATGGGTCATAGTTTAGGCTTCTCTTCGTTTACACAAAGCTGTTGCAATCAGTCAGGTATAAATTCAATCAAATACAGTGTTTCTAAAGTTGGTTCTTCTACTGGATGCTTTTTACAGTATAGAAACTTTTATAAACTCCACTGACACTTTCTTCTTCTTGGAGTGCTCTATTGTTTTGGACTCTGCTATCACTCCTGATTTCCTTTCTACCTCGGGTGCTCCTTCTGTCTCTTTGCTGTGCTCCTTCTCTAGCTCTCTTCTCACTCATTGACTTCTCAGGTTGAGGTCCTGCATTTTCATGGTTTCGATACTGCCCGTATGTGATAGGATAAGCCTGTTGCTCATCTAACGGCAGGTGGGCATGTCTTCCAGAGACTTCTGATTATCTCATTCTTATTCCAGTTCCGAAGTACAGACTCCAGTGATTTGGGTCAAGATGCTATTAGCCTTGGGAGACGGGTTGATAAATTAGAATTACATCTACAGTTGTATTGTGTAACTCAGTGTGGCGTCCCTGACCCAAGATGAGTGGTCCTATGTATATAGATCACACAAATTTCCCAGTCATATATGCACACAGGAGGCTGGGTCTGCAAGGGGGTCATTTAGGCTTTCAGGTTTAAATATAGTACCTACTTACACATTATTATCCTCAGTGCACCCTGCCCTAAAATTCCCCATTCCCAGTGCTTGTCCCTGTAAGATTCTCGAGTCTAGGTCAGTGCACTCACTTCCTCCCAAACCCCAAGCATGTGTCACTTCTACCATCTGCCCCAAACATGTTTTCCTCTCTTGGTGAACGCCTGCTGCTCAGCTGGTAAATTATTTCCCCTGTCAGCACAAGTCAAATACAAACGGTTACCCACCACTTCTTCATTTACAAATATTTATTGAGCACCTAATATGCACCACACACCTTGTTAGGCTCTGGGATGCATGTGAAGTGAGATCACCCCTACCCTCACAGAGCTCACAATCTAGTAAGGGAAACAGACAATACACAGTGAACCAACAATGAATAAACAAAGGTTGTGAAAAGTGCCATAGAGAAATATAAACAGTGGTATGATAAAGGACAGTTAGGAACCAACTACTTTTTAGACAGAATGATCGCGGGCGGCCCGAGGTGGTTAAAGGGGCGATTTGAAGCCTGCCTCGCCACTTACAAGCTGCAGGACCCCAGGAAAGTCACACACCTTCTTGTGATGTTTCTACATTTACGAAATGGAGACAGACAGACTCCACCAAGGCTGCCATCAACTGCTAATGATCGTGAGAACTGCTCAGAGCCTTCTCACTGCTAAGGCCCTGCCGGATTTCTTGCACAAACGTGCAGCTATCCTGACCATCTTCAGTTCTCTTGGCGAATGATCAACTGCCATGGTCCTACTCATCGGGAAACTTCTCTGGGATCAGTCACTTGCCTTAGCTATGGGCTACCGTAGCATCCTCTACTTTCCCTTTTACCGCTGCACTGTAATCTCCCTATTTCGCTCATCTTCATTCTAGTGAATCACAACTTGGGTGAAGGTAGGGATTTACCTGCCTTGTGTTCTGAGTGCCTGACACAATGTCTGGCATGTAACACAGGACCTCATATTTGATGGCTGATACTTCTGTAAGCCAAAAGCAGCAGCAGAGAGGTGAAAGACATTCAGAAAAGAGGGGGCTGATGGAGGAAGGTCCTGAAGAAGACAGGAGACAAGAGTCAGAAGTCCATGGGGCTGAACTGGCCCTCGGGCCCACCTCATCCTCTGAGACTAGGATGAAGGAGAATGAAGATGGGCACACATGGAGAGAAATCATACTGGCAAACTGCATCTTGAGTGCATTAGGAAGCAAGGTCATCTGCGGAGACAGATGTGGTCTGAAAAGAAGCAACGTTTGTAATAATCGACAAGAATGGGCAAAAGCAGCATGTGATGCTAAATCAAAGGATGGATGGGTGACCCTGAAGGAAGGATGTGGGGATACTTTCAAGGCTGTAATAATGGAGGAGCAGTGTAAGGTGGACAGGAAGTACAGAGAAAATACAAGGGGTGAAATATTGGTTGGGTGTTTCGGTGCAAAAAAGTATCGGAAGTAACCAAAAATCTCACAAGCTAGGCTGCTGGATGGATCACCCGTCAAAACACTGAAGACTACAAAGTTAGAGATGGCAAGAAACACTGTGAGAAAGGAAATGAAGCCTCAGCAAATTCAAGCACATGGTCAGGTTACTTGACAAGAGTATAAGTAGCTAACGGAACTTCACACAGGCTGCAAATGGGGCAGATTTTCATCAGAGGCCAGGGGAGGAATTACTTAGAAATTACAATAGAGGAAGGGCAGCAACCACGCACCTCTTAAGGTATGTGGAATGTGAACACGGCCCACAATGGTGAGAGGTGCAAGGTATGGCCAGGACTTGAGGTGACAAGGCAGTGAAGAGAAAAATCCAGAGAAAAGGTGGGGATGCAGCTAGCATGGTTTAGCAGGGGGAGTGGAAGGGCAACTGGGAGGGACTAGAAGATCTATAGAATGGAGACCAGTGAGAGTGAAAACAGACAAGGCAGGCCACACATCTTCAAAAGACTGCAGAAAAACAAACATGAGTTTCAAAGGCCCTTCCCTTTTGAAATCTCATGCTTAACATCGAACTCCTCATTGCTTCCCCTAAATGACTAATGCCCTTTTTAACTGCATCCTCTCTCAGGCTTGAGAAATGGGACTCAGCCCTCACACCTCTATCTATCTATTCACGCCACCGAATCTGGAGTCTTCGTTTGAAATGCCTCCAGGGTCCACTCCTTCCTTATTTCTGTGGCCATCCCCTAAAATCAGTTCTTAGAATCTTAGGTCTAGATTCCCAGATAGCCTGATTAACGTCACTTTGATTTAGTCAGAGGGCTTTTGAGATAGGTATGTTTCAGACTCCCAAGTCCACTGAGAAACTTAACTTAAATCTGTTCCCTCATCTGTAAAACAAGGACCACACCACTTTCCTTTGTAGGGCAAACATAAGGAATGAGACATTTTTGTAAGATTCTTAGCACAATACCTGGTAGTAGGTGAGAATCTTTGATTTTTGAAAAGCTGATTGGGAGCCCTTTGAAGCCTGGGACCAGATCTTTTATTCCACTGTATCCTACACACATTTCTAAGACATACTGAGTATGTGAATAGTTCGATGAAGGCCAAAATAAGAGCCATATTCTATTTTATAACACAACCCTCTTCTTCACTTAAGAGTTAGGCTTTGAGAACACAGAATGAAAAAGCTTTAAAAGCCATTCTGGAAATAAAAAGCAGTCTGGGAAATTATGTGGTATGTCAGTCAAGAAAGTAATACACCTTGAACATTTGTCATGGCAATCTGTTTTGGGAGGGGGGTTGTTTTTGCCCCAGAGCTGCCCTTAGGACTCCACGAAACACGAAAGAATACAGAGTGAAACGAGCAAAGCTTGGCCCTGCTTTTGTTGATCAGCCTTACCACTCTTCCAGTTTGGGTTGGACTGCCTTTGGCTCAGGAGATCCCACTGGCTTTGGGGAGCTCAGAAAGCCCAAAATGGAGCCTATAAAAAGAGGAAAAAAAGAAAGCTGGCTACTAAGGGCTGGCCCTAGGTACAAATAGTTTAAAAAAAAAAAAAAAAGTGTGAGGCTTTAACTAAAAATAGAAAACATGGTCTGACAATGGGCTATTTCACAGGGCAAGTAGAACTATGTGAAAAATTATCTGGATATCCTTAGGCAGGTGTATCTGCCACACGTCGAACGGATGTAGTTGAAACTAAGACACCCCAGGAAAATCTCTGCCAGTTACTTCCTTATCAGCCCAGCTCACCAGGATCAGAAAGGTAGAGTCGTACTTAGTATAAATGCCAACAAAGAGATGAATGGTGCATATTCTTGGAAAATATGGCTAAAGAGTTTTCTTATATCATATGGAGTACGGATCAGTAATATCATGTGGAAAAGTGAGTCAAGAACCACAAAAGTGTTTGTTTCCCTGACCCAGAAATTCCATCTCTAGTAATTCATCCTAAGGAAATAACTTATACACAAAGACATTCACTGTAACTTTATGAGATGCAATCTAAAATGTCCAATGGGGAAAGGGGATACGCATCAGGGCACATCCAGATAATGGAGTATCATGCAATGAATAAAAGTTGACAGTTTTTAATGACATGTAGACCGAGGGGAAAAAAACAAGACACAAATTATATTGAGAATGAATAAAGCTATGTCAAAATACGCACAAGTAGCAGAGAGACGGCAAGAAATACGCAAAAATATCAAAGTGCTTATTTTTCTTTATACTTTTCTGTATTGTCTAATTTTTCCACAATGAGCATATATGACTGACATAAACAGAAAAAACAAAAACATGATTGAATCAGGCAAGCATTAAAGAAGAATGGGCACTTTCATATAGCTTTATTTGTTTCTGCTAGGAGTTGGGAGTGTGGCTCCTAATAACAAAAAAAAGGGGGGGGGGCTTACAAACCAGTCATTCATTTGACAGGAGCATCAGACTCTTAAAAAAAGCAGAGAAAGTCTTAAATTTTTTTCCACAAGTCTCACCATATTCATGTAGAACTGCAACAGAAAAAAACGGTGAATCGGACTGAATCGTCCATCACTGACCTTACTGACAATATGCTCCCACAGCACATGGACCCAGGGCCACAGAACACATCACACCCAAGTTTAAATGAAAAGAATTAGGAAAACAAGCGTTTACTTAGAAAAAAAAGGGGGGGGGGTAAATAGTTAACGCTTTTGTACCAACTGGGAGTTAAAGAGAAATAAAAAAGCATACCCAAGAATTAAACTAATGTTTAATTTTTTTGTAAAAATGAAATTTACTTAAGAAGACAAAATGTAACTAATGAATACTTTATTAGCAAAAGGAAAACAAGCTTGGTTATTAAATGACTAGTATCCAGGACTGGCCTGAAGGCAGAATGCCTGAAAGGTTTAATGTCAAGAAGTCTTTGTTGAATACCATTTCACCTAAAATCCAAATTTACTCCTCCTTCAAACTCGTTTAAGATACTACTCTAGGGAAACTTACTTTATGTCAAGAGGCATGGCTCAACTTACTTAGACTTACAACCCTCCCCTAATCATACTATTTTCATCCTAGCTTTCCTGAAGTACACTGTAAATGCCACATAACCTAAATTTAACGCTATTATTTCATTTGGCTTTATAATTATTCTATGGCAGATGCCAAGTATTTTTACCTTCTGGTAAAGGCATTTACCTCCTTCTGGGCAGAAATGGAAATTAAAAATCCTAAAGTGGCTCACCTAAGGGTCAGAAAGTGAGTGAATGTCAGCAGAGTTTAGCTGTGAAGCTATTCTCAGCACCAGGTCCGTAGTAGTCAGGAGTCACCAAAGCCAGGAAAGCTCTTAACATTTCTACATGAATAAGGATCAAAGCCACAGGCTGCCTCAGTGTTTTAAGAGGAGACCAGTAGGTGCAGTCTGCAGTTTCCTTCCTTAAAAGATCTCTACATAATCACTAGCAGGCTCACATCTACGTAACAGCTAAGACAACCTCCTCTGAAACTGCATTACGCTGGGTTACGCGGAAATCTGGGCAAGTAAAATAAACTACTAAACAAGTCAGGATCTTGGGAGAAGTATTTGGTGACCATGCTTTAAAAAAAAAACAAAAACATAACGACTCAATGATCATGCTGTTGTAAGGCAAAAGCATAAAGAAAAGTACTCACCCTCAAAGATGCATACATAAAAGCCCCAATTTTAAGATTACAAACTTAAAAGTATATTTTTAAAAATGTTAGTCGCCTGTATAAATTATAATTTTATGTAATTTCAGTATAAAGCACCAAAAATGAACACTAAAACTGTTCACATAAAATCGTAGAAAGGAAACAAAGCACAACTATAAAAAGCACAGAGGTATCGGTTACAAGAACCAAGTAAATAATTTCTATGAATATATTTTCATTTAACCTTATAAAACTTTGTTGATTACACTGGGGAGGGGGAGTCCAAGAATCTAAAGGGTAACAAAATGGTAACAAATATACATCATTTATTTATTAACAAATTATATACCACACAAATCAGAGTTACGTTTTCTATCTGATTACAGAGTTAACAGAGATTGCATCTGTGTGTAGAGCAGCAACATAAAATCTTACGAGGAACAAATTCTCTATGTGGACCAAAGGCCTGTAACATGAACTAGAACTCTAATGACTACGAAGGTGAAACTGGCAATGACGGTGCAACTGCTGCAAGAAGATTCTGGTTTGTTTCCATGTTCTCAATAGTAAGCAGCTCTCCAAAAGAAAGAATGCATTAAGTAAAGGGATGATGGAGCCAAAGGAGATGATGTAAAAAATCACATGAAATTAAATCAGTATAAAAGGAGCACAGCGCCATGAAAACTCGAGGCATTTAAAAACAAAAACCACCCAAGCAGTGACAAGTCAGCTTCCTAGAGTTCCACCAACCCTGAAGTAATGCAATGTGTCCCTGGTCTAACTGAACTCGATCTTTTCGGCTGGGCACTTCGGTCTGAGGAATCAGTTAGATTAGTCATTTTTAAAAAGGGTTTTTTATTTTTAAAGTAGACACAGTTAGGGAGAGAAAGATAAACATTAGAAAATTATTAATTCCTTGAGAACTCAAAAATTTAGGGAGCCAAATGAAACAAAGGGAAATATAAAATGTGGATAGAAATGTTTCTCTAAGGGTAAAAGTCAGTCTCCTGGGGGACTGAAAATCAAGACCACTCTGAGTGAGTGGTTTTCAAAGTGGGCTACAGGCCCATCCTCCCCCAAACCTCCTTATTTTATATTCACACACTTCTAACTTTGTGTGTCCTTTGTGGTTATTTACTTCTTTAAAAAAAAGGAATAGGAAATCCAATGCAGTCCCCATGCCTCACCGTTGTTTGTGTCTTCTAATTAAGTTTGAAAATCATCACTGGGACTGTACTGGTGAGAAATGCGTGACCAGAGTTCTAAATCATATCCGCTTTGTTAGTGTCACTAAAACATGAAAAGTTTCAACAAAGACTTGTATATTATTCTATAAAATAAATGAGCAAAAGCAGTTCCTAGAAAGAGATTAAACTGTTAATCCCACATCCCCGAAATCTGATCTTCTACTGCCTCAAAGCTCACAATGTTCCTGGTCAGTGTAAGCAAGACTCTAATGAACATTCTAGCCACAGGTTACTCCAAAAGCATTTCATTTGACATTCAATAGCTGCACAGAATTTCTTTCTCGGGAAGGCAAGCCCAATTTTGTAGAAACCTCTAGAATGAGAATGGACAATTACCAAAAATAACACGCATTACATCAGGGCAGAATATGCATAGTGTTCTTCAGCACAATCACTGAAATCAAGCAGCCGATTCCCAGAACTTCCCTTTGCAACTGCTAGCAAACAACATCAAAGTGTAAATGACAACCAGGGAAAAATAAGTAACACAAAGGCCATTTTTCTTTGATGTAATCAGGAAGAAAAGGGGAACTGCAGGAAGAAAAGTGGAGCCAAGCTCTGGCCACTTAGCAAGACTTCATTATTCGATGAAACAACAAATCTCCGTGGAAAGGACTCATTCAGCAAACATGACTTCCTTCCATGTATTTTTCCTTCACATCAGGTTAAACAAAAGTTGCTGTCATTTTAGAATCATTGATTACATCCTTTTTTAGTTAGAAAAAAGTTTACTTGAATATTTACATAATTTTATTGCTGTTTATTACAACAAAAAAAATTTTAACTGATGTGTGTAGAATCCATCCAGTAACATAGGAAATTGAAATCCATCTCTGGAGAAGATACAGTTAGAGCCGAAATGTATCTGATGCTCAGAGTACAGCATGGGTAAGAAAAATCCTTGCATGTCATTTGGTTCTTGCTGCAGTCCTCTGTGATCATCTCTCAGAAAGCAGAAGAATCCATTTGACGTTTCAATAAATATCAAAGTAATTGTTACCGAAAAAAATAGCTTCCACGGACCAGAGATCCAAGAAAGAACAGTTTCGATGAATGATTCCTAGAATCGAGTGAGTCCTCCTTTAGTCCAATGAGATGATGTCAGGAATGTTACTTCCACTGCTGGTTATGACCCCTGTCTCACTCCTGCTGCTGGAGGAACTAACATGAGTACTGCTTTCATGGGGGCTGGTGGTGGTGACAGACGTACTGCTTGCTGTTAGGGGTGAGGTGAGACTATCCAAAAACATAGGAGGACAGTACTGCTTGAAACAAACAATGATGCCGATGAGGAAGAGGCTACATTGATTTTAAATAAAGAGACTAGAAATCGTTAGATATGTACAAGTGATAGCCATATATTTAAATCCCCATGGGGTTTAGAATTTCTCAAAACTTCATATCTTTGGATAAAAGGTGGCATGAATTTAGTTATCTATTCTACTGTTTAGTGAGTGTGGCATATTTTTCATTTTCTCAAATCTATGGAGAATTAGTTGAGCAAGTATATAGATACAAGTATAAAAATGTCGACAACAATAAAATTATTTAATAGTAAATACTGGCCCCACAGTTATGACTCATACATAACCTCCAAAAGAATTTGCTCACTAAATGTATTTATACCAGGTTTAAATCACACCAAAAAGGCTAGCAAATACTTATTTCTAATGGTATTAAGAAAAAATGCCAATGCGAAATTCAATAATTCTTTCAAAATTTACTACCAATCAGACTTTTCAAGAATAATGTTAAGATCAAGCAACTCAAGAGTGTGATTTGAAGCCTCTGGACATGCATGAAATGATACCTGTGTAATCAGGATCACAGCGTTCATTCTGAAACAGAGACTACATGCTAGCTAACTACCACTACAGGATGTTCAGAACAAAGAAGTATCCCATATAACCTCAAAATTTTGGAATAAATCTTAAAAGAGATCTAATCTAATCTTCCTTGTGAGACTCAATACCCACCCTCTGAGAATTCATATTTCAAGTTTCCTTACCATCTTGATCGCTGACCCCCATATTCAAACCCAAGTTTACTACTCTAATATTGCCCAAGAGGAGTAGAGAGACAGGAGCTAACAGTTTATGTCACCACAGAATATTTTCTGTGAGAAAAAACAGCACTGACTTTAGTAAGTGAGGTCCAAAATATACACGAGAAGCCCTAAAAGTTGGTCTTTAGATTAACAGTATCAAAGACGATCAGTAAGGATATCCTATCAATATTATCAATTCTGTAAATTTCTCAGCCTATCATTAGACTTAAATCACCAAACAGGAATTTAAAACTGAAGCTGTTTCGACTACATGATCTTCCAAAAGATCTTAAAACAGCAACGACAGCCCCAGGCTTACACTGCCAGTCAGTGGAAGAGCAGCAACCAAAACTCAGGCTGCTTCACCGAAAAATGTAGTTTAGTGATTAGGATGGGTAACGGTCTTGGTTCATCAATAAAATGAAAGTCATGCACAAAGAGATCAAAAGGATATTGGTTAAGGGTGGGGGGGGGAGAAGGAATAGTTCTTAAAGAGCTTCTCAGAAGCTCTGAAGAGAGAATTGTAAGGCATTAAACTATTTTAAAATCAGATCAATTCTAATTTTCCACTAATATTGAGGGAACAACCTGGAAAAAAGGCCAGAAACTTGCATTTTATTTCTACTTCCTCTCAGGCTGTTTTCGACTGCCTGGTAATAAAAAGGTCCTCTCCTGCTTATAAGACGAAGGCTAGACACCGCATCCTGCTGTCAGTAGGCCCTGCGAATTCTTGTAACACTCGGGCTGCAGCCATTTCACCTCTAACTCTTTCTGTGTAACTGGCACATATCTACACAAAGATAACAGGGCTTAAGGGGGCACCATGGAGGTAAAGAATACTAAGGATTCTCAGGAAAACTGAAGGCACCACCTCACCCTTCTACTGGCCTAACAAGTAAGTTAGCCGGACTGACAGTATGCCAAATAGCACTATGAAAACAAAACCCCCTGGGTTCCAAGATCATTTTTTTTAAAGGATGATTCTCATAAAAATCAGTAATATTATAAGCCTGAAGAATCCATTTCCTAGAAAAACATACAGCTACCTTTGCTACAGAATCTACTGATATAACAAAGTCAACTCAGGGTGAGAAGAGATTCCTCATTCCGCACGTTAACCTGGGCCCAAACACCCAGTGCTGTTTTTGTGATCAGATACAGAGTCCTGACACAGAAGGCCGCTACGAGACTTAGCAAGCTCTGAGGCTACAATGCGGTGGTCTGTGGGTCTTCTTCTGGCCCTCCCTACTCTCAGCAATTCTCTCCAAGTCTGTTTCCCTCCCCCACTCCCTTCTGTTTCTCCCAAGCCTTTCCCTCCTCTGCTCTGCCTCCGCTATAGGCCTGTCAGTCCAGGTGTGCTACAGGTCTTCACGTTGGGACTCTAGGATACTCGAGTTTCTTATCGTTGGCAGAGAAAACAGGAATGACTGGTTTATAGCAACTTCAGACTGGGGCAACCCCGACATCTGAATCTGACTGCCTCTAAACACAAGGAAGAATAAAACTAATGATTCAAACCTGTTGAACCATCTTCCACTCTATTCTACATACAGAACGAGTGTTTCATAAATAATCTCTGTCAAGTTTTAACTTCCAGGGATCATTGCTTCCCCTCATTTTAATCACTCAAGTGCTTGTAGGAAATGCCAACTGATTATTACGCTGAATAAAATGTAATTAAAAATTCAGATATTAAGTCAAAATAACATAAATTTAAAAATAGCAACTTTCTTCCTCCAAATAAAAATGTGAGATATTTATATAGTAATTCCTTTCCATCAAGTTGAGTAACTGAAAGTTGACTGTCCTGATTTTATGCAACTGGTCATTTTTAGTTAGTATGACATAACCAACAATCAAATACAAATTAGTTGCTTAAACTCAGGGTACATACCTGGGGATCAACTGGAATAAGGGAAAGAAAATCCAAACCTAAAACAAAAATGCTTTGTTAATAGTTGTCTCATATTTTGGAGACAAGAATTATTTCCCAAAATCATTTTGTATTTATCACGAGTCATAAAACATTTGGGTAAGTGCTTACCATTCTGCCATAGAGAAGTTCAATAACCACAATCAGTGATATTTAAAGTGCATAAAACCCCAAAATGAACATATTCCCTCACAAAACAATTGGAAAGACCACCTCCCAGAGACTTAAAGGGACCAGTCCAGAAATTTCCAGAAAAGTATGACCAGTCAAAGCAAACTTTTCCCTTTCATCACTTAACAAAATGAGAAGCAATAAAAATGATGAGAGAATGATCTGGATTCGGACCATTAAAAAAAAACATACTTAGGCTCTTAGGATACTTCACATTTATTTTTTAGAAATACACCACATTGAGGTTCATCTAAAATATCACTTCTTAAACAGATGTCTGTTTCATGGATCGCTCTCTGTCACCCTGTCCCCACATCAAGAGTCGTACACAGTTCAACGCTCTGCACAAAGCAAGCACTTGGTTAACTGCTGCTCACTAACAAGTCAAATCTTAGTAGGGTTTACTGGGTTATTAGCTAATGCAGTTTTCTAAACCAAAGATCTGGGATTCTCCAATAATGCTTTAAAAACAGGAGTGTGGAAAAGTTTGCCCAGTAATACAACTTCGAAGTATTAAAATTATAACAATAAATAATAGTAAAGTTTCAGCTTTGAAAAGTCTAGCAATAAACTTCAAAATCAGCCCCCCTAAACCTAAATTTTAAAACATTAAAAAAAAAATTACTAGGTATAGGTCAGTGAGACAGGCCAATTTTTATATGCTGGCATTCAATGTCACCTCAAATATAACAATCATACAGAATAAAAGTCTGATATTAGACTGTTACTCAAAATAGAGAATATTCGTTGAAATGATATTGAAAATATTTAATAACCAGTATGAATAATTTATACCTCTTTTAAAGTATATTTATTTCCTTATAATCTGTAAGGATATGATAAAAAGGCTTATCAAATGATACAAGCTATAGCACCAAATATTTGAAAGAAATCACTCAGTTTCTAAAGCATTTTAAAAACTGCTGATACGGTTTTTCACTCCATAGGCCTGTCACTAGCTTTATGATACAACAGAGCCTGAGCCAACAATGGACAAAGGGGAGCACAATGAACTTTTCCCAATGACTTCCCCGTTATACTGATAATCAGTAGATGACATATCTCAGTAAGCTGAGAGTTTCTCTTCACATTAATGATATTATTCAGTAAATCCTCCACTTCTGAACAGCATTTCAAAATCTTTCTAGCCTTTACAATACCTTCTGAATTTTATATACTCAACATTTCTATTACTGAGTAAGTCACAAAGATAGTTTACTGGCATGACCTTTAATTGACTTAATTTTATTAATTTGGTTTTGCTTCAAATGGTGTAGCATTTTTCTCTTTATAACCGCTTCTGCTTTTTATAGCCTAATTAATTTTATATGTTCAATCACTTTTAATGTTTGTCGAATCACTCAGTCCATTTGAGTAACTTAAACCTTTTTTATAAAGCTGAAGAAGAATCTTACTATCTTTTGCAATGTTGTGTACTGAAGCCAAATCAGCTAAAATATGCTCGTTTTCTAAATGTGTAACTATTTCCACTTCAAAACTGCAATTTAAATAAAAGACACAGGCTTGATATAATTTTCAGACTGTCTGTGCAGTGCCAGCACTGGAGGCTGCCCATCAAGGGGCAAAGATTCCTCAGATTTTCATTATTTCAATTACCAGCTCTTCGGAGGTACTGTCATTCTCTTTGATGATCATTTTATGTGTGGCAGTGGATAGATACTGATAAACGATTTAAGACATTTACTTCCTCTTTATCTTTTGACACCTTATCCAAGGATAACTGAATATGGTGACTTCTGGTATGCCATAATAAAACAACTAGAAACGTTTCTAAGATCAGTTGAAACTCCTGACTGTGTCCCGTGACACAGATGCTCTCCACACAAAATCCAATGTTTTAATGTAAATATATCTCACTGAACCCATTTTTTCCTCAAACACTAACAGTGAAGTTTGATACAGTATTTCAGATGTTACTCCTTCTGACAAAAAACTCACAACTATTCTCAAAGTCTTGCATCTTAAACATTTTAAGTATACTATTAAAACTGCTATATGAAATAGATGGGAGTTTCATGAATACGGATTAAAATGTTACTGCCTTGTTTTGTAGTTTAGTAAAATGCTGTTTTCTTATTTCACCATAATTTCAATTACAGCCTGTTATACTGATATATTTTTATGCCCACCCAAGTATTTCATGCCTGAAAATGCTCAATTATTTTTAACTAAAAAGCAGGCAGTGTTAAAATTCTGATGGTACATTCTAAATGTTTTATTTTATTAACACTGAAAAAAGTGTAGTTTTTTTTAAGTGCTTCTTTATGTGAAACTGACTCTACATGTCTTATTAATAACACCACATTTTCCTTACTTGAGTCATGAACTTTAACAAAACATGATAGCTACATAATTAAATATGTAAATGTTCAGCACTTTCCAATTTTAATGATACAACTTTCGAGCACCATTCGCACCTGACAATATGGCACTAGCAATAATAAGGCAGTCATATTTTTCTTGAAATAATCAAGCTGTTTTCCATTCCATAAATACAAATTATTTGTTTTATTTTGTATTCATTGTTGCACAGTATCAGGAGGTGTTCCAAGCTGCAGTTCATTATTAATATCATTTCTTCTTTGTTCTCCTGCAGATTCAGAAGATTCACGTTTATGATGTTTAAAAGGAATGTTAAGAAATGTATTAAAACTTTGTCATTGCTCCATTCTTGATGTTCTATTTAATATTTTATTATAAATTATGAAATTTATAAATATCAAAACTCTGCACAATAGGACTAATTACATAAAAATTATGCACTGAAATAAAACCAAAATAATTACTAACTACAAAAGAGCACATTGACAATAAAATCAAAGTAAAAACTAAACTATTTAGATGTAGTAATTGCTAATATATGAATAATAATTCATAGATGATGATAAACTGGAAATTCTTCTGTTCAATTCATCAACTGGTAAGAAAGCATTTCGACACTTAAATAGCCAGGATCCCCATACTGGTCTATACTGGCCAAATATCAGCCCTGCATCTTGGTGTTAGTTCCTTAATACCAGCTTGAAATGTATTTTACAAAATATACAGTTAACATAACTTACTGCTTCTTAAATCTTCACATCTCATCAATAATCTCACTTTATACCCAAATTTTGAAATAATGTAAATTCTCTAAAATTAAAAATTCACCCAGACTCACATAATTTGAAAACTGACAGAGCAAGTGATTCATAAATTGTGGCTGTTCTATTCTTAAATGGCCAGGGTCGCTTTAGTAAACAAAAAGTTTTTTCAGCATTAATTTGTATATCAAGGTTTTTAGGAACACAAATTCTTCCAGAATGCTTATTTAAAACACATACTAAGACGATACATCATGGACACTCTTCAACCTCATTTAAAACTAGACAAAGTTAAAGGAAAACATGGCAGTTAGGAATTAAGTATCTCTGAGTTCCGTCTGTCTTATGGACCATGAAACCTCCCCTGTATCTTGGCATCCAGTATTGTATACAGCAAGTACTTTTTAATTGGTGCCGGCTGGGCTTAACAATGTTTTAAAATACCAATTCCCCAAGTACATATGGAGTAAACATAATTAAGAAGACTTTTTGAAGATTTCTGATAGATACTATTATTGGTCTATTCATCTTCATTAAATTTTACCTGAATTATCTGAATTTCAAGTGGCAAGATTACACTAGGCCAGATAATACAACTACCAATTGTTTCAACAACACAAATTTTGCCCAACAGAATATATACCATGCTTAAAATAAAGACCTCATTGAGAGGGTAAGAAAAATAAGCTGTAGGTCAAAATTAACTTCACAAGTCTAGAAAAGAATATTAAGAATATGAGGAGGGAACTGTATTGCACCAAAAGTGCCCCTCAGAAAGAAGGGAAGTCATGAATACAAGAGGCACTGGTTTCAGCTGGCTCAAATTTGATTGACAAAAAAAGTGTCTACAAAAACAATGGCTATGGAAGGAAGAAAAGGGGGTGCAGGGTGGGAAGGGGAGGTCCACATTTTATAATATGGCCTTGGTTCTAAGGGACTTCAAGCAGCACTGAGCTTTTCAAATGTTAATACGCACATAAGAAATATCCTGAAATACTAGCAGTGCTCTAAGGAAACAGCTGGTAGACCCTACTTTTATAAAGGGAAAAAAGCCCACAGGGTAAAGCTATGGGTGATGTTAACCCCATGGTACAGCAGTATGTTCTGAAGCTCTGACGAGCTACCAAGAAGATCATCAGAAAATACTCTCCTGAAACTGTGAACCTGCTTTGAGAAAGAAAATATCTCTGAGTACAAATTCCTTAGGAGGGAGAGTAAAGTCCATCAAATTCTCCCCTATCCTACCATATTTCCTATCATCAGGAATCTAGAGAGAGCTCTGTAGTTAAAATGGTAGGACTTGAATGTGATGCATTAAAACAGATACTACCTTTAAAAGAAGCCTTCAAATTTCCTTAGTATTTCTGTTTCAATTTTAACACTATATTTGCTCCACAGATTTAGAGTAAAAATAAATAAAACTTGGTAACAAAATACAAGAACTCTTCACATACCTGGCAAATCTGATGACATGCTTGATATTGGCGTGTGGTGGAATGGTACTGAGTAGTCTGTTAATGAAGGCGGAATAGCAGCAGGATCAACCGAAGTCACACTGGGCACCCTTACAGAAGATGGCTGATACATGAGAACCCTGTTTTAAATAGCATGGGAAATTACAAACAATCTGGCTGTTAGTTCACAGGAGACAAGGGCTGCACCCCTGGGCATTCTCAGCTGTAAGTGCACTAAGTTTCAACACACCGACATGGCGGCTGCTCCCTACACAGTCCCTTCACTCTACTCTCCTCTTTCCTAACAGTCTTCATTATAACCTGAACGTACGAGGGCTCTCAGCAGCAGCTGCGATGTGAGAGCAAGCTGACACGAAAACATAACGTAAGTGCTAGAGCAGGGCAGGAAACAGTCATCCACAAGTGGAAATACACTTCACACAGGCTCTTATTAACGTATGGGTAACACAGATGTGGCTATTAGTAATTTTATCTATAAAGAAACTTAGAAATAAAACAGAGGACTCCTAACATTTGATTTAAATCACTGCATCTTAAAAGTGAAGCTACTTATTATATAGCTCAACCAGAAGCCCGTCCATTCTAACCGAAACTGTGTTAATTAGCAGCAATCTTATCTGAGAATTCATCTGAGCAAAAGATAGCCCATCCTAAAGCCAGCCAGCAAGATGACAATAGGCAGCAGTCAGAAATTAGAATAAGATGATTTCTCAAGATTTAAAATATCCGGAAATAAAAAATGTTAAGTTACTATGACACCCGTCTACCCTAAAAGGGTTTATATATAGACTTTGAAATTAACTTATCATGCTAAGAGTACAAATTAAACACACTTAAAAAATACACTATAACTAGTTTTATTTATATATACATATATACACACACTATATATATGTATGTATATATATGTATATATATGTGTGTGTGTGTATATATATATATATATATAATTACAGCTTTATCATTGCAAGCAGTATAATTAATTGTATTTTTTTTAATGTCAGGAATAAAGAGAGATGACTGCATTCTATCTATTTAACCTTCATTTCTCTTAGTTGCCCAAGCTCAACAATTAGAACCTCACAAGAAAAACATCTTGAAAGTACACAAGAAATTAAGCAACGTTAGGGATCCTATGGCTGGTGGTGGTGGCCATCTTTTCTGTCTACCATCTTAATGAGGCTGCAGTGGTAGCAGCTGTTCCCTGAGCTTCATGATGCCACCCAAGGACAAGAAAAAAAACAGATGCAGGAAAGTCAGGCAAGAAAGATAAAGACCCAGTGAACAAATCTGTGGCCAAAACCAAAAAGAGTCCAAAGGTAGAGTTTGGGACCTAAGATTAATAACCTGGTCTCATTTGACAAGAACCCCATGTGACAAACTCTATAAGCAAGTTCCCAGCTATACACTAGTAAGTCCAGCTGCCGTCTCTGAGAAAGAAAGCAAAGATTTACAATTGCCTGGCCAGAGCAGCCCCCTTCAGGAGGAACTCCTTAGTAAAGGACTCATTAAGCTGTTTCCAAACATGGTGGTGTTCAAAGTGATTTATGCCAGGAATACCAAGATTGGAGTGCCCCTACTACTAGTAAAGATGCATAACACGTCCCACCAATTGTACATTTTGAAAAATAAAATTTATTAAATTAAAAAAAAGGAGAGGAGACAGGGACACAGGGACATTGATGATAGCATCCCAAAGCATTGCCAGTGAAGCTTAACAAGAGAGCCACAGAATTATGGAGTTGGAGGGGATCATTACAAAAACAAAGAAAGTAAAACCAACAAAAATTTAGCACCATGGTCACAGAACTAGACTGAGATGACCACTAGGACCTCTAGATGCCTTTTCATTTGGTCGCAACACCTCTTGTTACTGCTCTGATCATTACGTACTAGCGATAAGAAATGATGACATAGTCCCATGACGCTTTTCATACTTTAAACAACTGACAAAACTATTTCATGACTTCAATCTAAATCTCAAACCCCTAAAATAATCACAATCTATTTAGACACTGGAGTCATTCTAAAACTCGTCTGCATGATGACATGAGGATCCTGTTTAGCTCTTATTCTGTACTCTTTGTCGAAAATACAGAAGTTACTAGAAATGCGGAAAATGAAGTCACCTTGAGAGTACATATATAGCTGTGTTGGCAACTACGCTATTCTCCGAATAGTGAATAAATAACATAGGTTGGAGTTCAGAAGTCTTAAAAATGGACACATAGGAAACATAACATGCTTAAGACAATTAACAGAAGTCTGGTATTTCAAACACATTTGCCAGAGGTAGATGAAGATGGAAGTCATCACCCAAAGAACAACCTGCCTGGATTAGAAACAGAAGGCTTCTTGGCTTCCAATGTTACCCAGAGATCTAAAACCACAACCAGGAGGTAATACTAGAAAAGGCAGATTCTGTGGAGGGGGAAAGAACAAACTGGGGATGAAATCAAGTAAGTTATGCTGTATTAAAGCCCATCTTAGAGGTCTGAAAACAGTGGTCCTCTACATTGTAATCACCAAAAGTATTTTCAAATTACACGTGATCCTACCTCCCACATAGGTATGTGTATCTGTAATTGGGGTGGGAGGACAGGGCCTAAGACGGAGAGAGACTAGTACGGTCCTGCTGAGAAGGGGTTACATAAGTGGCTCTGATTAATCTGGCTGTCTCATAGTTTAAATATCTTAATCATATTTTTTTATATGTAAGAGACAAGCTTTTGAAGATACACACATACACCTACCATACACACATGCCTACCTTCCTCCTGCTCTTTCTCTTCCTTTGATATCTCACACTGAGAAGTTTCTTTTATCTTGATCCTGAATTGATCTCTGACTGTGAATCAGATTTATAGGTGACACCAACAAAACTCACTTTCCTCCCCAGCTCCGTTACTTACACCTGTAGCATCAAGTCAGTGTCCCAAGACATAGTCTATCACCATAGTCACATCTAATTATCACACAGGTTCTGTTCTCATAACACGAAACTTTAAATAAGTAACTACTCTTTGTTTCTCCGATACAAAATGTTGATGGTCAGAAAATGTGAAAATGTCAAAATCCAATGAGGGTACAAATTATTAGATCAACATCTAAAAATCTTAGCAAACATCTGAAAAACTAAACTATTTTGTGTAGATTAATTTCTTTTGCCTGAACTTTGCAACCATTAACACAAATTCTATTTTTATAGAATGGATAAATTAGTCATTTGTGACCATTATCAAATTATGCATTGGTAGCAGATTTTGGTTTTAATCAGAATATTCATGAGGACTACATTCAAAAAGGTAAATGAGTCTAACGTCAATCCAAAAAAACAGATGTATTTATAAATATGGAATAACAAGGAGAAATGTAAATGGCTGTATCTAATGGAATTATGGGTATAAAAATGTGATACTATAAAGTGACAGAAAAAATTTAAAGTTTGTAACTTGTTACTGCCTTCTCACAGGATTGGCAAATACACAGGCATAGGTATATATTATGCACATGTACATATATATTTTAAATTTTTGTAGCTTCATCCCTAACATCCCAGCACAAAGGTAAACTGCTGGAACACTGCTGGAGAGCAAATATTAGTATTCTAGACCATATACTAGATCACTGAATTCATCATACTTGGTCCAGGCTTAAATGTCTGAAAATGAATTAACAGTTCAGTAACTTGAATTTTTATCCATAAACCTGAAATTCCCTGTGTGCTCCCACTTTATCATACAAACATAGAAAAGATTCAATTTTGTTACCAATTTCTAATGAGTCTTAATCCACACAAGTATCTGTATATTTGTCTATGCCTGTCTTTAGAATACCTTATTAGTGACAAAGTAATCATTCAACGATTCAAGGAATGGGGTGGGGATATAGTATTTAAACTTAACTTATAATGTAGAAAAATATTAGAGGTTTTTCTAAAAGTCTTAATGTGCCAGTCTCTTCTGATAACTACTATTATGACCACATTTAAGGACTAGAGTATGTATTCAAGGAGGGAGGCTAGAAGGATTACCATCAAAATGTTAACAGAAGCTATGTCTAGGTGGAATGCATTCTACCTCTTGATTATAAAACAACTGTGAAATTGTTTTTAAAAACAATTTCTAAGGGTGCCTGGGTGGCTCAGTGGGTTGAGCGTCTGATTCATGGTTTTGGCTCAGGTCATGATCTTAGGGTTGTGGGATCAAGCCCCGTGTCAGGATCTGTGCTCAGGCAAAGAGTTTGCTTGAGATTCTCTCTCCCTTCTCCTTGGCCCCTTCCCCAGCTCACGTGCACTAAAATAAATAAATCAATCTTAAAAAAAACAAAAAACAATTTTTACTAAAACAATACCTCTTCAAAAATAACTGCTCTCTTGGGATCCCTGGGTGGCTCAGTCAGTTAAGCCACTACCTTTGGCTGGGGTCATGATCCCAGGGTCCTGGAATCGAGTCCCGTGTTGGGCTCCTTGCTCAGCAGGGAGCCTGCTTCTCTCTCCGCCTCTGCCTGCCACGCTGCCTGCTTGTGCGCTCTCGCTCTCTCTCTCTCTCTGACAAATAAATAAATAAGTAAAATCTTAAAAAAAAAAAATAACTGCTCTCTGGAATGTAACTGAAAGCAAGTTTTTCTGGTTTCTCATTCTCTATTCTTTCTCATTTGCTTACTATCATTGACCAAGAAGTCCCACGATAAACTTACACAGCAGAAGAAAACCATGAAAATTCTAGATGCTGAGCCACAAGACAATACGAAAAGGATGACCAAGAACAAAACCAGAAAAGCATTAAGAGTTGGAAGGGAATATAGAGATAATATATCCATAGCATGAGTAGTCTCCATGACACCCACTGGGACAGGTGGCATCAATTCTACCTCAATAAAGGAAATGTGATTTTAGCACGAAACATCAACTTTCCTAGTGTTCAGCTCCAGCTTAAAGTCTTTCCATGTATCTTCCCTCCACTGGACTTAAATCTCCCAAATTTTATTACACAGAATAAACTTAATCCACTTAGTCAATGATTCCCTTTTAAGAACTACAAGATATTCACATATTCACATCTTCTCTTGTCCTGGCTTAACAGCGTCAGTCCTTAGACCCATCCATCCATCCATCATGCTACAGGATGCACTACCACCCTGTTCCCATCTGCTCATGATCAACACTGACTAGAGTGGTATTAAATAAAAATCATCTAGCCTTAAACAGAATAAAAGTAGTGTAGGTATATATCCTGGACACTATGCCTCTTTCATTAATGCAGCCTAAGAATAAATCAGCTTCAGTGGTAAACCCTTCAAACCTTAAGTAAATTCTGATATTTCAAAGAGTTTCTCTCAGGAATGGCTATTAATGAACTAAATACCTTTCCAGAATCCATTAAGATGACTACATAGTTATCCTTATTACACGATCCATTTTATCAATGTATTTCTTAACAATAAAGCATTCCTGGATGAACCCTACACTTTGTAGTAATGGATACCATTTTAATATATAATTAAATGATTTTCTAAGACTGAATTCAGAATTTTCATTGGCCTTTCAAATGTGAACCAGCTTCCTTCTGCACAGTTGTTAATGTGTAAATCTCATTTGGATATTAGGAATTAAGTTGACTTCATGGAATGAGCTGGGTAGCTATAACTTCTAGACCTTTTAGGCCAAAATACACTGAGAGTATAATCCCACCTATATAAAATGTCTGGAACAGACAAATTCATAGAGATGGTAAGGAGATAAACAGTTGCCTAGATTTAGGGTGTGAATGGGGATTAACTGCAAGTGAACATGAGAGATGTTTACTACGTGTTGGAAATATTCTACAGCTGAATTGTGATGATGACTGGGCAACTCTCTGAATTCACTAAAATCAATAAACTGGGCAACTTAATAGTTAAGATGGGAAAATGTTATGGCATAAAAATTACAGAAAAAATAAGTGCACTGAGAGGCCCAAAGGACAAGACTGGCACACCCAAGTCTAATACAGTATGTTCATGGAAGGTAACAAAAACTCTCTGCTACTATCTTACAGGTTCCAAAATTTCTAAGAAGCACCAGTTGACAGATACTTAAAGCTATCACTTACTACATAAGACAGCAACAGCTTCTGCCATATGACTCATAAAACATGACATGCTAGAATGCATTTACTTGCTCACAGTTTGCCCTGGAGAGGATGAAATAGGAAGGCAACCAATTTTTACTAAGAGACTACCACATGCCTGACACTGAGCCTAAGCTCTCTCTCTTACTGAAACCGGACAATCATCTTCTGAGGTAGGTTATTATTTAACCCCATTTTACAAAGCAGAAAAAGGAGGCTCACATAAGTATATTAGTCAAGATCCCGGTACTAGTAAGGAATGGTATCAAAATTGGAACCCACACTTGTCAGATTCCCAATGCCGCACTCCATTTTTATGCTGGGCTTACTCATGTTGGCTGTGATGCCAAATATAGGTTCCAGAAAAATGACAAAAAAGGATCAAATAGGAAATAAATACTTAGACATGAGAAGACTTCAACTCTTACTTCCCAAGGATGTTAATAATTTCTTCATCAAAATTTTCTCTCCTTTAAACAAGATGCTTTCTTGAAAATATTTCAACTGAATAAAGGCAAATGAAAATAGCCTTCTATGGTTATGCAACTCTCAGAGACATTTACAAACCTGTACTGAGAACAGTTAGTTCCAAGTGTAATAAACAATAGTGAACTATAAATTAACAAACCCTTTGGTTGGGCTGCTTTGTGTTTCTGACATAAAGATGCATTTCCTTTTGGCAGGTGGGTCTTCCTCTTCATCAGAAGAGCTTTCTATTGTTAGGTCAATAACATCCACTTTCTTCTTGCTTGTCTCATTGGCTACAGTCACTGAACATGGCTTAGTGAGGACACTTGAACCTGATGTGGGGAAGAGAAGTAAAAGAAAAAAAAAATCAAAGGTGGGACACAAATAAACTCTAACCTTAAGTCTTAACTGTGGAGCAAGTCCAGGAGAATATACAACCAGTAAAGACACATACTCTGCCCAATGGATAGAGACAAACTCCTTAACTCCAGACGTTTGTCTATAAAGTGACTGCTTAATCTGGGGACAGAAAGTAAGCTCTATTCATGGCCAGAGCGTCTAAGCCTCCTTCGGACAGCATGCTCTTATGTCCACAGGACTGCCAAAGGACGTGCTCAGATCCTGCTGCTCACACTGCCTGCCTCCCCAGGTAAGCAGTCATTTTACAGGCAGCCTAGGGTTAGGGGTCCAATCTCAGCCACAGGCAAGAGTAAGTGGCTTCATGGGCTGTGTATTCTCACAGATGTGCGGCACTGTTAAGTCAGAATCAGATACTTTCACTCTAGCAAAGCAACAGTACTCATGTCAGGATAATCACCATAAGCCAGAACCTGATAAAAATTTAAACCTTCATGAGCTGAAAAAACTCCAAACTTCTCTTTTAAATTATTCAGACAGTTAAAGCTTTTCTTATCAACTATTAATCACTTAGGTCCTCCTTTCTGCCCTCATATACTATATGTTAACACACCAGTTCACAGAAATTACATTATGCCCTGTAATCTCTTTAACAGAAAACTAATGCTGGCTGATAATGGAAAAGCAGCAACTAATCAACTATATCACTATTCTTCTCAAAGATAAGGGAAACCTTGATCGTAATTCTACCTGTAGGTTCAATAACAATCACAGGAGAATGAATTTTTTTAAAGTAGGTTCCACACCCAATGTGGGGCTTGAACTTAGGACCTTCAGATCAAGAGTTTCATTCATACTGAATGAGGCAGCCAGGTGCCCTAGGAGAACGATTAATATTAACATGAATCTTTCACTTTTTACTCTTGAGTACCCATTATTCATTACACTGGAAGAGTGTCAAACATAATCAGCACAAAGCATAAATGTAGTGAGTGGACTATATCAGATAAAAAGAAAACTTTAAGTTCACCTACAGGTTTCAATTATGGTACTGCCCTAAGTTTCTCCACTCAGTGTGGCTGGGTAGAGGGAGCTGAGTATACATCCTAGGTAACCAAGGCAATGGTCAAATTCCTTCCCATAAAGAAATGGAAACAATCTGTTCACTTTTTTAAAAAGCAACTGACCTGTGAGCACCTGCCCCCAACCTCCACTGATGGATTCCGCCTCTCTAAGCACACCTCCACTGGCAGTTCCCCCAAAAGGTACTCTACAAAGAATCCTGAAAAATCGTCCATAAAAATGTCATTTATAAGGCGCCTGGGTGGCTCAGTAGGTTAAGCCGCTGCCTTCGGCTCAGGTCATAATCTCAGAGTCCTGGGATCAAGCCCGGAATGGGGCTCTCTGCTCGGCGGGGAGCCTGCTTTCCCTCTCTCTCTGCCTGCCTCTCTGCCTGCTTGTGATCTCTCTCTGTCAAGTGGATAAATAAAATCTTTAAAAAAAAAAAATGTCATTTATAACTTTTCATTTTGTAACAAACACCATATATTAAAATAACTTCAGATATTGTTTCATTTACTTTACATATAAAAATATATTATGAAAAAGCTAATTAGAAGATGGTATAAACTTTAGCACATTTCTGAAGGAAAGAGTAAAAATCATTTGGGGGAAATTACATATGTAACAGATGATCAAAAGATAAAGTTCGCAAACTGAGCTCCAAATATAGTTCTAGCGGCCAAGGTTAACAATAAAATCAACACTGTAGGAGTCTCATTGCTTTGTTCTCTGTAGCCATTCTGCACATACTTTCTATTTTTGTACATGGCTGGCTGGACACTTTCATAGCTTCTTTCTTCGGTCTCATTGGACACCAAGTGCCATCCTCTTGGAATTTGATCTCATCCACATCAGAACAGTCATTGAGAATTTCCATAAAAAGCCTATGAACCAATTAAGAAGTGCATAAATGTAATCAATGGCTTTGTTCAACGGTGAACTAACAAAGTAATACATATACTGCCTTGGAGATGAAAATAATGCTATCTTTTTTGTTTGGTGTTTCAATAACTTCACATTTTACAACAACTACTACATCCCCTCCTCCTAGGTTTTAGATCTTTAATGAGCAACATAAGTGACTTACTGAGTATCATCTAAGAAATCAGTGACTAAACAGAAAGACACCTGGAGCCTCCTAACTGGGATTGGCCAGTAAGAACAATTTCCAACACAACATATAAAACAAACATAAGGAAATATAAAGGTTATTATACAAAAAATAATTTATAAGCTTATTCTCAAGAAAAAAGGATCATCAGGTAGGGAAAAGGAGGATTAGGGACATGAAAAAATTTAAAATAACTCTGCATACAAATTATGTTCTATGCCCATAGTGAAATTTGAAATCATCTTCAGAAAAATATGTGGAAAATGCCAATATTTTGAAACTAAACAACCAGTGAGACAAAAAAAAAAAAAAAACCCACATAAAAACATAAATTAGAAAGTATTTAGAACTGAACAAAAAGGAAAATATAATAAAATTTGTGGAATATAGCTAAAGCAGTACTTGGAAGAAAATTTATAGCACTAATCTTCCTATATTAAAAAAGGACTCAAATCAATGACCTCAGCTTCTACCTAATGAAACCAGAAAAAAAATTAAAATTAAACACGAAAAGGGAAATAACAAAGAAAAGAAACAAACGAAATAGAAAAAACCAAAAAAATCAATGAAAACAAAAAGCTGGGGCTTTAAGAGCAATAAAATCGACAAACTTCTAGCCACACTAAGGCTCAAAAAGAAATAGATAACCTGAGGAAACCCAGGTATATTAAAGAAAATGAATTTGTACTTAAAAACTTTACCACAAAGAAAAGCCCAGTCCCAAACATCTTCACTAGGGAATTTCACCAAATATTTGTGAAGACATGATACCACCACTTCCCAACTCATTTGCATGAGGTCAACATTACGGTGGTATTAAAAGGAGACAAAGGGGATGCCTGGGTGGCTCAGTGGGTTGAGCGTCTGAGTCTTGGTTTTGGCCTGGGTCAGGATCTCACGGGTCGTGGGACTGGGCGCCATGCAGGGCTCCATGTTCAGCACAGAGTCTGCTTGAGAGATCCTCTCTCTCCTCTCCCTCTGCCTTTCTCCCCACAACCCATGCTCATGCTGTCTAAAATACACAAGTAAATAAAATCTTAAAACAAAAATAAAACAAAGACACTACAAGAAAACAACAGACCAATGCCCCTCTGAGTTTAACAAACCTAATAGTACAGAAACCCAACAATAAATACAAAGGGTAACACAATGCTAGACTAAAATGTATATAAGGCTGTACTGACTGTTTACATACGCTAACATGTAGGCTGGGATACACTTACCCATCTAAAATGAGACTTTCATAGGCAGCTTTTTTATCACACACGGGACAGATCCAGGTGGGCTTCTTCTCATTCATTTGCAGATAAAGAGCAGCGTCAAAACACTGCAGATGTGTACAAGTCACTGCGCGGCACGGGATTGTCAACCTCATTTTCCCTAACTACAGGACAGGGAAGACAATAGGGGGAAACTTTTCAGAAAGGAGAATAAAGCCTCAAAGGCAAGGATCACTCATAAAAGTCTGAAAAGATCTTATGAGAAAATCAAAATGAAAAAATTCAAACCAGAATTTATCAAGATTCCTACATATTTCACTTGTATTCACTGATGGCCCTATGATTTTTAAAAGCCCATTTCACATTTTTAAAAGAATCAACATACAAATTCACAGGAAGAAAAATGTGACTCTTTCTTACCTGTTCCCCTATTTAGAGGGAACCACTGTTGCCCATCTCTCGCTTGTACTCGCACTGGGTCTACGCATAACCAAGTATGTATTTTAAAAATTTTCCCAGAAATGGTGGCATGCAATCCACACAATTCTGTACCAACTATCACATAATATCCTTGGTGACTGTTTCATACATACCAGAACACAAAAAGCTACCATGATATGAAGGTATCATAACTGATAATGAAGCGTATGATATGAAGGCTCATTATTTAACTAGTACCCTGCCCTAGTGACAGACGTTTAAATTGTTTCCAATCTTTTATGACTACAAATAATGCTGCAGTAAATATCTACAGGACGGACTCCTAGAAGTGATATTTTGCGGTCAAAGGGAAAGTGCATTTATGATTTCTGTCACACTGACAAAACGTCTCCCACAGAAGTTGCCTACCTACTGATGTACGCACATATGTGTATCAGTGCACTTGGTTCCCCTCAACCTTGCACACACAGTGCTGTAACTCTGATCTCGGCCAACCTGATTGGTGAAAAAAAACCCATTTTGTTGTGAACTACACTTCCCTTATTTTCAGTTGAGCTTCTTTTTTACTTCTAAGAGTCATTTGTGCTTCTAAGAACCGTCTATTCATAACCTTTTCTCATTTTCCATTTAGTCTTTGGTATCTATCTACAGCAGCTCTATATTAAGTCAGCCTCATATATATGATGATGTGAACTGCAAATATATTTTTCACTTATGAGAATTTTTTACTTATGTATAATCACATGTGCTGATATTCCAATATACTTTTATATAACTACAGTGCTCTGTTCAGTTCTTATTCCAGCTGGTAGAGGTATGCCAACATCAGGACACACACCCAGATTAGATGGAGTCTGTCGCTATAGCCTTTCAACAGCCCTCCCTATGTACTTCCTTACAGAAAATCTCTCAGCTTACAACCAGCTGTGTGTTATTCGGATAGAAAATCTGTTTCTCCCACTAGACTCTAAACTCCACAAGGACAAGACCCATGTCACTGCTCACCACTGTAATCCAAGTGTCACAGCACAGCACCTAAAATGCAGCATGTGCTCAGAATCTGCTGATCAGATGACAGAACAAAGACAGACAGACTAGAAAAACAGCAATGGGAAAGAAAGGGAAGCAGGAAGGACTTCTTTATGGGAACTATAACGTCTAGAAAAATTCACAGCAAAATTACACTGTTAACTTTGCCTGAGGGGTAGGAGTCTTAGAATGCTCCTGTTTGGTACGCCCCCCCCCCCGCCTTTATGGTTTATCTATAATTTCTTTCTTCCAAAATGAACATTTGTTTATTTCGTAATCAAAAAAATTAATTTAGCCAAGTTGTCAGCATAGCAATAACTATTGTTTGTATAGTTCTACTACATAGAAGGCACGATGTTGGTGACTTTATATTATGAAGTGACACTTTATATTTAAACCTAACAAATGCACTGTATGACTGATCTAGAGACATTATTGTCTCCCCCACTCCCACCCTGAGAACACCAAGGCACAACGAAGCTAAGTAATGACTACCATTACAAAGTTACAAAGTGGCAGCGCCAATATCTGAACTGAGCAGCTCTGGCACCAGAGTCCATATCTTATCACTGTGCTATACTGACTCCATCTGAGTGTTTAACTAGAATTCTAAAAGGGATCTTGGAAGTTACAGTGATTCGTGCAAGTACACAGCACAACAGAACTTATTATTTAAGGAAGAAAAAAGTAAGAATAGAACCTAAGGGGGGCACCTGGGTGGCTCAGTGGGTTAAAGCCTCTGCCTTCAGCTCAGGTCATGGTCTCAGGGTCCTGGGATCGAGCCCCGCATCGGGCTCTCTGCTCAGTGGGGAGCCTGCTTCCTCCTCTCTCTCTCTGCCTCTCTGCCTACTTGTGATCTCTCTCTGTCAAATAAATAAATAGATGTCTTAAAAAAAAAAAAAAGAATAGAACCTAAGGCATTTCATTTTCTTACAATATTTGCTTCCAAATTTTCCCTTCCTTTAATAACAGATTTTCTCCTAAGCCATGTGGAATCTTACTGGGCGCTAAGGATTTTTACATACATTTCACAGAATTCTCCTAACGGCCCTAGGACTGCAGAAAGACTAGTATCTGTATTTCTGCTTTTGAAATAAAGATGCTGAGATGACGTGAGGCCACAAACAACACACTCACTGAGACCCAGCTGGTGGAGCTCTAATGCAAACACAAATGTTTACTTCCATGGGACTCCTCTTAGCTTTACAACATCACACATGGTGCTGGTTCTTGGTTCCAATTATCCACCTTTTCCTATTTTGCTAAGAGTTTTTGTTCTATTAGGAATGGAAGCTGACTGAATGCTTATTCAGCACCCTAAAGAGATGATCACAGGAATTTCCTGACCCCCTTCCCATTATTAATATAAACAATTTTCACAGTTTTTCTAAAATCAAACCATACTTGCATTCCTAAGAGGTATCCTTTTATTATCATGTATTATTCTTGTAAAATACCGGATTCTTTTTAAAGTAATGGATTCCACTGGCTAGTGTTTTGCTTAGGAATTTTTCATCGTTGCTTTTTATTTGGAAACAACCTAAATAATCACTAAAAAGGTTGAACAAGTTAATCTACACCACACCCAATCAACAAAATGCCTGTATGATTAAAATAAGACATATCTACAGATATTAATAGTTAAAATATACTGTTAATTTTAAAACAGTAAACCACAGAATAGTATATGTAGCACAATACAATTTTTTCCAATAAACATACACAACTATGAACATAAAGTTCAGTCTAGAAAGATTTATTTCATACTATTAGTAGCATTACTTTTGAATAAGAGATCTTATCAATTTCAAGTTTTAATGTCTGTTCTATTTGAATAATTTTATAATAAAGTAGTTACTATTTGTCAATTTCCATAATTTGTTTCCTTTAAATAATGCTCTAACTCAGCCTACTATGATTTTTTTGGAGGGGGTGGGGGCTCCTAGTTCTCATATTTTTGGCTTCAGAATCCCTTCACACTCTTAAACATTGAGAATCTCAAGGAGTTTTTATATATATAGATTATATTTACCAATATTTATTGTAGTAGCAATTAAAGCAGACATTTTTAAAACACAAGAACACACAAATACACACTACATCAACCCTTGGAACACTGACATTACCAATAGTCAGATAATCCCTATTAAACACCACTGCCTACTCATGAGAGAATAACAGAAAAGAGACAAACTGCATCATAGTATTATTTTAAAAATTGCTCTGACTTTGTGAGCCTCTTCCAAGAGTCTCAGGGCCCCCAAGTATCCCTGAGCCATGCTTTGGGAACTTGCTTTTTTTCTTCTTCTTCTTAGGTACCACCTTCATCTCTCCCGTCACTGCCTTAGAATTTCCACGATACAGAGAACTGAAAACATTCACAACTATAGAAGCTGCTGATCCTAAATTTAATCCTAGTGGCTCACAAAAGTTAATGAGCATTTCTCAAGTTAAAAAAAGCATTTATTACCAACTGGCCAAATCTGATTAATTTCCTAACACTGATCATGGTGTGTCAACAAAAGCAGCTTTGTATGCATTAAATTCTATTTAGTCAGATGATGGATGGATGGATGGATGGATGGACGGATGGATGGAAGGAATGGTTCCTAAATAATGCAATACTTTTTTTGATTAGTAAAATATTTTTTAAGTTTTTACTTAAATTCCAGTTAACATACAGTGTAATCTAAGTTTCAGATGTTATGATATAGTGTTATGATGTTATGATATAGTGATTCAACACTTCCAAACATTACTTGGTACTCATCACAAGTGTGATGTACCCTTAATTCCCCATCACACATCCTCTCACCCTTTTCCCCACTGGTGACCATCGGTTTGTTCTCTATAGTTAAGAGTCTGTTTCTTGGTTTGCCTCTCTTTTTGTCCCTTTGCTCATTTGTTTTGTTTTGTTTTTAATTTTTTAAAAAAGATTTTATTTATTTGACAGAGATCTTAAGTAGGCAGAGAGGCAGGCAGAGAGAGAGAGGAGGAAGCAGGCTCCCCGCTGAGCAGAGAGCCTGATGCGGGGCTCGATCCCAGGACCCTGGGATCATGACCTGAACCAAAGGCAGAGGCTTTAACCCACTGAGCCACCCAGGCACCCCATTTGTTTTGTTTCTTAAATTCCATGTATGAATTATATCATATATAGTAGCTGTCTTTCTCTGACTGATTTTGCTTAGCATAATACTCTCATGCTCTACCCATGTCATTACAAATGGCAGGATTCCATCTTTTTTTATGGCTGAGTAATATATCACATTCATCAGTCGATGGACCCTTGGGCTGCTTCCATACTTTGGCTATTGTGGATCATGTTGCTATGAACATCAGAGTGCAATGTTATGTACAGAGTACCTAAACTGATTTTCACTTCCCTGTAGCCTAAATGCATCTACGTAAATTAAGAATGTATATAGTAAAAATGACCCACATCAGTGGATCCAAACTATATATGAGTCAGAATCTTAAAAGATAAAATCAAACCTAGCCCCCTTCTCTATCCCCCAGCCACCAGCCCACCTCTGCAGGAAAGACAGAAAATCACTAGCTGATATCACTAAAATTGATAAATTTTAAAAACTGTAAAATTCAGACACTGTTCAGAAATATAATTATATACACTTAGATCCCTCCCTCGAACAACAGTAAAATTGCCTTCTGTAAGTCCCAAGGACAGAGGCTTTGGACTGCACTCCCCACTCCCCAGACTCAAGTCTACTCTGAATCATTTTACAAATATACTGTGAAATGGGACAAACACTTCTTCCAGTACCTGGCAGCTATCATTTTCTGATAGCTTCCTTATCCCAGGGTTCATGTCTCATCCTTCCAAATGCTTATGATCCACTCTGTGCTTCTGTATTTCCTAGCACCACTCCGGATCCGCTGCTACTTCTGCAGCCAATAGGCTGCGCTCCTTTCTGCTCTTTTCAGCTAATACTGGTATTATCTCCTCCTCTCATCATCTAACTTCTGTCACCCATCTATTAAATCTGATCAAACATCTGTTTGGTGTTCTAATTAACATGTATCATATACTACAGTTAGCTTCAACTTTGTGTTAACACTACTACAGCCTGGAAAGTACCACTTACTCTTTTCTGAGAAAGTGCTGAAAAAATCAAGTAGTGTGATTTTTTTCAAAGCTCAAAAGACAATCTGCAAAAGAGACTTAGTGAAAAGGAACTGTTCCCTATTCTTATATAGAAGGAATCTTAACCGCTCTGATATACCACTTCCACTATTTTGAAAATCTGAGAATCTGTTAGTATGTCAGTCTCTTATGTTTTGTTTGGGTTGTTCTCATACAGAATAGCACAATGTTTTTAAAAAAACAAAAACAGAAAAAAAAAAAAACTTTAAAAAACAAGGTCAAGGAGACAAGACAGAAAATGGAATCATGTAACCGTTAGAACTCTTTAGGTAAGCTATCCAGAAGCACTTTCTTACTGACAGAATAGTGTGCTACTAAAACATAGAGGTAACATGAATTCCTTTCCCATGTAGTGATTATGCCTAGAATATAGCCAGTAAACAACATTTGCTCAATATACTAGGATTAAACTGTAAGAAAACTATCAATATACGACTGTTTTTGACCAACAAAATGGCAATCTCCTGTGTTTCAATTTAACATCCATTTTAACACGAGAGGGAGGAAAAGAGTAATGTGAAGACACTCAAAAGAAATCACGTCTCAAGGTCTGCACATAGCATGGGGGTAGAAGAGGAGGTCCTGGGTCCAAACACAAGCCCTCTTGGGCCTCTGCCACCACTTCAGGCATCAATGCTCGCCCCCCCCCCACTGAAACAGGAGACTTTCTTCTCTCTGGATCTGACAACCACAGGTTCACCATTTCTAAGCAATCCAATTTCATGCACTTCTATTCCTTTTCAACAGAGCTAAGTTAGTTTAAGTTAATGATAATTAAAAAATAAATTCAGAAAGAAAGAGATCTGCAAACATCACTTTCCAGGGTGACAGAGAGGTGAGCTCATATAACAAGGATATTTATATTTTAGCCCAATTTGGTATTATGGTATATTTTTAAGGTATCTGGAATAATGTCAGAAGACCAAAATTTTTATCCTTGTTTTGCTACTGTGTGATGTGGGTTATCCAACCACTTTTAATCTCAGTTCCCTCAACTCTTCCACACAGGTTTGTTAAGACAGTTAAATTAAGAAGCACATCATGGGAACTCAACAAATTATTCCTTTCTCTCTCCCTCTCTCTGACACAATTCTCTCTCCACTTAAATACTGTACATTTCTCACGATGGCGGCTGGTCATGAGGTTCTCCCAAAACTACAATCCTGATTCCATGACTCTTCTCATAAAGTTCCTTGCATGTGGAAAGGTTCCCCTCCACCAGTACTGATTTTAGAGAAGCCTTCATCCACTATTCCTGACCTCTCCCTATGCTTAGCAAGGTTACATGTGGTATGTATGCCTTCGTTTTCTCATGTGAGTTAGTTTTATCTCTCAAAGTAGACTATTAACTTTCTGACAAGTTCTTATCAAGTCCTCGGTATTTTCTCCCCAAAATTAGCTCAGTAACAAGAACACAGGAGGATCTGAGAGTTGCTGACCGATTTCCACTCCACAGTCTCTATATAAAGAGACATAAAATTATTATGCAACTTAGAAGTGCATTACAAACAGATAAAGACATCTCAAACATTCTAATTCATTAAACCAGAACCATCAATTAGCATTTATTAGGTGATAGTAATTTTACTGCTATTTTTCAACACAGTCTATATTCTGATAAAAGGAGCCAACTCTCTATTCTCTCTAAATATTTACTATTAGCTGTGGACTATCTACAGCAAAAAAAAACTGTGACAGATTATTCTGAACCTAAACTCTCTTCCTTTTTTGAAACAATACCCTTTTAGATCTTTCCTTGCTTAGTCATTGTTTGAAGAACATCTGCATTCTTTAGAATTATGTTTAATCATTAAAATTCCTGAATGGGAAAATGACAAAAGTTCTGAATTCTATCATAACGTATCATTCATTCCCACACTTACTTATATAGGAAAATTAGTCATTTATAAAAAGTGAAACACCCCGGAATGTTTTTTTGCTTTACTTACAGGGCACATCAAGGATACCCGAAGGCTAGTTGTAGCAATTTCACTATCAGGATCTGCAGTAAGTTTTTCTTTAACTTTAAAAAGAAAAAGAATTAAAAAAAATTTTTTTAACTGTGATATTCCGAACAGGATTACAGAAATAAATATCATCTTATTTAAAGTTTCCCAAACACTTTGAGTAGGTCAAGAAACTACAAAAAGCAAACAAAAAACCCCCAAAATGTTAAGTATTAATGTAAAAACACAATCATACTTTCAGTATTAGGTTAAAGAACTACAAACTTGCAAACTCTAGATTCACATGTTTGATTGCATTTTTAAAATAACTTCTTTCTAGAAGTAAAATTGCAGGTAAGGAAGAGTTTCAAAACAGACAACTATGTAAGACTGAAGAACAATATAACAATTGGGAAAGGAACTTGCAAAGGAGCTGTACCTGGAGCTTCAGTGCTTTCCTCACACACACTCAGAGGACTTTTTGTTAAGGGTACTGGTTGTTTCCAACAACTATTAAGTTTGTAAACCAAAAAAGCCAAATACTCTTATACTTCCTTTGACAACTGAAAACTGCAAGAGATGTGCTAATTCCTCTGCAGTTTGATTTTCCCGGTAATGTATACAGGTTACAGTCTCTACGAGGTCACAAACATATGCATGGCCTCTAGGTGGTTAACACTCAACACCATCATAGAGAAAAGGCAAGGAAATGGGAACTGGAACTGCAGTGGGATGAAAAAACGGAGGGAAGTGCTTCCTTGTCTTCCAGCTCTAGGCAGGAAGACCGCTACTCTGCTGTTTAATGAGATGAGAATGGTTTAAGTACAAGAAATGCAAACCATTTCAACAGCTCTACTTGGCTCCCTTTTCAATCTGTAGATTCTTTTCTCCTTTCCAGTTCATCCAGCGTTAAGTAACTGGGGGAAAAATATTGTCTTTCCCAGAAAAATGTCTTGTTCAATTAAATTAAGTTACTGAATTATTTACAGTCTGAGTTAGACTTTTTCTTTATTATTATACATTATGAAAGCAAAGTAAAAAATAAAACCTCTGAGAAGTCAAATATTATTGATAGATATCAACACTTCTTTTGCAAAAAGAGCTTTCTCGTTTAGAATTTTTTAAAATGTACATTGCATTACACACTGGAGGTTCTGAAGACTTGCATTCCTATTTGCGAGTCAACATATGCATCAAAATTACCATCAACCTGACATTTACCTAAATAAGTTTTCATAACAAAGCCAAAAATCAGACCAGTTGGGATATAAAACTGATCCTTAGGAGTGATTTCCAAGAAGGGCTTTTCATTATAGGGCTCTGTTCATAAGAGTATTTTTAACTCAAATTATTTAAGGTTTTTTTAAATAATTCTTCACAAATTATCCCTGTATTGATGTATATTTGAGGCTTGGTTTTTTTGTTGTTTTTTTTTTTTTTTTCCATTAAAGCATCTCAAATGCTCAGTCTTACAAACATTACTTACTTAGTGCTCTGGAATGATCAGGGTTTCTAATACCTTTCATTTTTAATCTCTGTAATAACATGGCTGATGTGAGCTGTCGTACAAGATATACAGACATGGAGTAATTCTACAAAGAAAGATAATCTGTATTAAAGATGAGAGATAATAGCCTATTTACATAAAATACCTGTCTAAGAAACTCTGGTTTCTAAATATAACATTCAAAATCACTTTCACAGGAAGGTCAAGGACTGGGAAGGGAACAAAATCAACTTAGCTATTTTAGGGAAGATAAAACTCAATCACATTAAAGGTATTTCTCAATCATTTATCACTTTAAAACATCCATGTGAAAGATAACATATCTTAGATCTGTAGTTTTCAAACTGTGTTTCTAATTTAGCATAACTGATTATCCTAGGGTCATCATGGCACGAATGAGAATGTACCCTCCCAGAATGCCCACTTTTAACTAAAATTTTGTTTTCATGTAATGGGACTGTCACAATATTTTCACTGAAGAATGGGTTCCACTGCAGAAACAAAGTTTAAACACCAGTGGTCTGAATTAACATTTCAAATCCAGAGTTTCAAAGTTCTAATTCTGACAGAAGAGACCACCTCTTCTTGAGGTGGCCTTGAACAAATCTTCAAATGAACCCAGTATCAGCTTTCTTCGGAGAAAAACTTTGACAAATTAACCCCTGTTTCCAAACGCACATTTTATTAGGGAAGGGACAGCTACTGTAGTATTTAAGACACACGAAGAAATGATAAAAATCAAAAAGACAAGGCCAGAAAATAATAGCATCCAATCCCATACCTCTTAGATCTGGCACAAAGGAACCTTCGTTAGCTATTTATAGAGCTATGAAGAGATGAAATAGAATTTTACCTACATGCTAAAAATCTATCTTACTATTTCACTACACATATTCATTCAATTGATCCTATAATAAACAAAATACTTTTAATAGTTATCAAGCCAAATATTGTAAATATCATTTTAATGTCCTTCAACAGTCTTTTTAAGTATCTGAATACTCAATACAGTATGCATATTTTAAGTCAATTAAGCATTTTAATTACAAGGAAAGTATATTAATCCCATTACATAGCAAAAAACCCTGCCAGGTCTTCAATGTCTACAATCGTTTACTCAAAAATATATGCTAATAATTACGTCAAAAAGATACATTCTTCTATTCAAATTTCTCCCATAAGCTTTAAAGCATTAATACCTGCTCATTTGCATTGACCAATGACCCTTGCATTTGCAAGATTTTACTTATCTTTAAACAGGTCTCAGCAGAGTAAGCAACTTTGCCAAAATCAATCAGTGGCCAAGATGGGACTAAGTCAAGATTTTCTGAATCCTTACCCAATGCATCACTATACTGCACAGTTTGTACAAATGAAAAATATTAGGATCAGTGTCCTATGTTAATACAGACAAGTTATGGTAAAAATTCAAAACTGAGAGCTCAAGAAAACAATCATTAGAGAGATAGTAATACTTTTTTTAGTCCAAATATTAATACAAAGCTATTCTTTATGTCCTCAACTCCGCAACTGCCTTGGTGTGACGACCAAAAATTCCTGCTATGAACATATGACTCAATTTCTCTGTCAATAAAATAGGAATATTACCCTTTACCTCAATGAAATAGCAAGATTAAAGTTGATGTTCAGAAATTAACTGAAATCTCTTTTGACATTCTATTATTTCTATATATAAAAAAATAGTTGTAAAACAGAAATCCCTTGTTGTATTAGTCAGTATCCCATAACTAACATAACACATTTGAGACGAGGAATTAGTAGAAAGCCAGGTTCATCAACCTACAGGTATTGGGAAAATAATGTAATTTTAAGTAAGTATTTTCATATGAGATTCCCAAATTATCTGAAGTGACAGCTGTTCGTGTAAAAGCTGGAACAGATTATTTCCAACCACATTTAACCATTTTCCTCAAAGTCTGATAAGCTTTGTCCCTCTTCATAAATACATAACATTACCCAAAGTTTCCAGTTTCTTAAAACCCTACTTAAACACATACATAAACACAATTGTGATTAAGGCATTTCCTTAAGAAGTACTGTAATTACACTCACTTCTTTTCCAAGAAAATAAAGAGATGACATTTAGGACATCTTGAACTTTTCAACCCTAAGAATCCCTACATCTCCACTCCTGAATTGAAAATCACTGCTTTTCAGGAATTAAGATCAGAAAACTAATAGGTTAGAGCTAGTACCCTGAGCTAAGACAAGACAAATCAACTTCTAGTGAGATCACTTTCACGCGCTACCAGAAGAGTCTTTACCTTTCCGATTTCTGATGCCCAAGAAATGGAAATTTGGTTTGGCACAGCTGAGGATAACCTAACTAAAGATGTAATATTCAAAGGACGTCCAGGGCGCTTCTGTTCAATCCCATTTTTAGGTGGTGGTGCATAACCCTAGAACCATAAGAGAGAAAAATAATTTTAAAATTCTCTGTTGGGGAATCAAACAATTTTCTCCAAGACCGACAATACGTTTGTCTAATTTCCATTACATAGATCCAATACATATTCTTATTTTATCCTGGAAATCACAAAATCTTCATCCTAAAGTCACCAATCCAAAGAGGAAACAGACCTTTTAAGAAACACTATATTTCACAAGTTAGAAAAGCACCAAAAAATGTTGCATCATTAAAATTAAAGATACTAACATCTTGCCATACTATGAATCTTTTTCCTTTTTATAAACGATAAAGTTGTACCTCTTTGTATTAATCTATCGTAGGAGCTCCTATTTAAAACACATTCAAATACCGGGGATGGGAAAGAGGGAAAACAAAGTTTGGGGATTAAAGAACAAATTAACGCAAAAATAAATTGCTAATGCTACACTAAAATAAACTTCCTCGCACAGCGAAGGAAGCAATCAACAAAACTAAAAGATAACCTGCTGAGTGGAAGATATGTGCAAATGACATATCTGATAAAGGCTTAGTATCCAAAATATATAAAGAACTTACAAAATTCAACACTAAAAAAAAAAACACAAAAAACAAAACCAAAAAATAATAATAATAATAATCCAGTTAAAAACTGGGCAGAAGATGAACAGACATTTCTCCAAAGAAGACATACGCATGGCCAAGAGATAAAAGAAAAGACACTCAACATCACTCATCATTAGGGAAAGGCAAATCAAAACTACAGAAAGATTATCACCTCGCACCTGTCAGAATGGCTAAAATCAGAAACACAAACAACAGTTAGTGAGGATGTGGAGAAAAAGGAATCCTTGTGCACTGCGGGTAGGAATGCAAACTGCTGCAGCCACTGTGGAAAACGGTATGGAGGATCCTCAGAAAATGAAAACAGAACTAGCCTACAATCCAGTAATTGCACTAGTAGGTATTTACTCGAAGAATACAAAAACACTAATTCAAAAAGATACATGCACCCCTATGCAGCATTATATACAACTGCTCAAGTGTCCATAAATAGATGAATGGATAAAGAAGTGGTGCTGCATACATACAATGGAATATTATTCAGCCATTAAAAAAAGGAAATCTTGCCATTTGCAACCACGTGAATGGAGCTAGAGTATACGGCTAAGTGAAATAAGTCAGAGAAGGACAAATACCGTATGATTTCACTCATATGTGGAATTTAAGAAACAAAACAAGTAAAGGGGAAAAAAGAGAGAGAAACCAAGAAATAGACTCAACTACAGAGAACAAACTGATGGTCACCAGAGGAAGGAGGGTGGGGGGGACAGGTGAAATAAATTATAGGGATCAAAGAGTATGCTTTTCATGATGAGGACTGAGCAATGTATAGAACTGCTGAATCACTATAATATATACCTGAAATTAATATAACACTCTATGTTAACCATACTGGAATTAAAATTTTAAAACAATAAAAATTTTTAAAAATAATAAAAATAAAATATATTTACTATATATAGTTTATGGGGAAAAAAGAACAAATTAATGGATTTCAAAGGAATTATTAAAGTCTTATGAATGAAAAAAATGCTCTCCATTGCCTTCTTTCCAAGTAGAAAATAAATGGTCATTTTTTAAAACCAGAACATGTCAACAACAAATAATCAATATTTCAATTGGCATTAAATTAGCTTGATGGCTATAATACTGATATTTATGCTTTATTCTTTTTCTAATCACTAGGTAGTTGTTTTAAATAGCAAGTGCACTCATTTTTGATTCACATTACATCCAATTCTCAATTACCAAAAGACTTCTCAGTTTGTAATTTTCAAAACTAAAGTATTTTTTAAAGATTTTATTTTTTTGTCAGAGAGCGAGCGAGCACAAGCAGGAGGCAGTGGCAGGCAGAGGGAGACGCAGGCTCCCCACTGAGCAAGGAGCCTGAAATGGGAGTTGGATCCCAGGACCCTGGGATCATGACCTGAGTGAGCGGAGGCAGACGCTTAACCAACTAAGCCATCCAGGTGACCCTAAAGTAATAGTTTTTAGAAAATTAAAATTTCTTAGCTGTGAAAACATCTATAAACTGTAAAGCAGATACCATATTTCACCGAATCTAAAATGCCACTGATGTAATTTAACTGTGTACCACTGAGAAGGAAAAAAAAAACACACTTAGTTAATGATACAACCTAACATATCACTACTTATTCCTGCATGCCTAGCAAAAAAATACAAGCAAAATGAACTGGCAAACATACTCCTTTTAAATATACAGTAAAATCTTCTGAATCACTTTTCACTCAGTCATCAATGCATATGTTTCATGGCATCTCCCTAAATGCCACTAAGAGCTCTGGAGATACAAGTATTTCTTATGACTATATTCTACTCCACCGGCGTCCCTCGGAATTCCTTGCAGATCACTGAGATACCCTTAAGGTAACTGCATGTGTTAATGCTGATACAATCTGGATCTTATGAGAGTGTTCTGATCGAAGCTTTTCAGACAACAACCAGTATTTGTGAACCTTCCTTAAAACGTTCTTAAATCTGTTGCTTAAAAAAAACCGAAGTAGCATAGCTAACCAGTCATGCCACAGGAATAACATCACGACTGTACTAGGCAATGACAACACACTATAGCTTGCCACCTGGTCATCAGCCACTGTAAGACACCTCTGGACTCTAGTGATGTTAAAAATATGCATGTTAGAAACAATGAAATACAGTATTGCTGGCATTACACAACAGAGCTAAGGAACACAGTCTATCACAACTAAGGAACCTCTTCACTGCCTCGTAGGAGGTATGATAGTAATTATTCGGTGGGAATACACCTAACTTGCAAACTACGACTTGCATCAAGGCTTGGAAAATCATTAAAAACGGTTTGGGCAGGGGAAGAAGGAAGGCAAAGAACATAACTTCAACAATGGCCATTACACTATAGAAAAGGGAAATTGTGTGTGCGCCTGCATACACGTGTATAGGAAAGTTATGCCCATCTCAAGTTATTCAAGTGAAATAAGACAAAAACAATTCAATCTCTTACCAAGACTCTACGAATTGGTTCAATGAGAAAAAATCGTAAGAAATATCAACATTCTGGGCAATTCTGAATGAAACCTTTGTTTTATCTGTTTTCTGTCTTCTGGTATGTTCACTGGTAGGTTAGCCAAATAAAACAATGGCACAGGATCTGCCAAGATGATAAAAATAACTCATGAACTAGCCAAAGAGTAAACTCCCTAAACTGGAATCAAATAAACAATGTTTTCAGTCAGTCTGAAGAGGAAGAGAGCAACAAGAGAGGGGAGACTAGGTGACTACAAGAATGAGGTATTAGCAAATTCAAAATCAATTTTGGTACTAGTCTCAGCCACCTCAAGTATTTTAAATCTATCTCTACCCTACCCAACTAGTTTGATTTCACTGGCAGTTCTGAGTTATCTTTTAACTTGTATTCTCCTTCTGACCATTATATCACCTCCATTCAGCCATTAATTACCTGGCTATTGAGAACAGGGTATAATTGCAATTTTCTAAAATATGAATGTGCAGCTTTAACATATTTCTAATGATTTTCCATATCTAAAGCAAAAACAAATTTAAGTTCATTTGATAGGGGACCTCTGGAGGAAAGCTAAAAACCTTCTTTAAGAAAGCTGGTGGTTGGGCGCCTGGGTGGCTCAGTGGGTTAAGCCACTGCCTTCGGCTCAGGTCATGATCTCAGGGTCCTGGGATCGAGTCCCACATCGGGCTCTGCTCAGCGGGGAGCCTGCTTCCCTCTCTCTCTGCCTGCCTCTTTGTCTGCTTGTGATCTCTCTCTGTCAAATAAATAAATAAAAATCTTAAAAAAAAAGAAAGCTGGTGGCGGGGTGCCTGGGTGGCTCAGTCGTTAAGCATCCACCTCCGGCTCAGATCATGATCCTGGAGTTCTGAGATCGAGCCCTACACTGGGTTCCCTGCTCAGTAGGGAGCCTTCTTCTCCCCCTCCCACTCCCCCTACTTGTGTTCCCTGTCTCACTCTATCTCTTTTTCTGTCAAATAAGTAAAATCTTTAAAAAATGAAAAACAGGGGCGCCTGGGTGGCTCAGTGGGTTAAAACCTCTGCCTTTGGCTCAGGTCATGATCCCAGGGTTCTGGGATCGAGCCCCACATCGGGCTCTCTGCTCAGCGGGGAGCCTGCTTCCCTCTCTCTCTCTCTCTGCCTGCCTCTCTGCCTACTTGTGATCTCTCTCTCTCTGTCAAATAAATAAATAAAATCTTAAAAAAAAATAAAAAATGAAAAACAAATAAATAAATAAGCTGCAGGAGAACCAGTAAAGATGTCAGTCTCAACCTAACGTTCCAATGAAAAATACACTCGAAAACCTTTCTGCGATGTACTGTGACGACATCCTACCTGACTTGTAACTGGGACAAAAGTTGACAGCGTTATTCCTTTAACATTTCCCTCTGGAATTTCCTAATTACTTCTACTACCACTACTGTCACACTGTCAACATAGATTTACTATTTTACTGTACATTACAAAATGTTCAAGGATAGATATAAGTAGAGAAAAGTACCCACCAGCCAGCTTCACTAATTACCAACGATATGTTTCCAATCTTGCTTCACTTGCCTCTGGCTCCGCCCACAGCCCACCCAAAAATACACACCCCACACATATACACATTTATTCTAGATAATGCCACTTGACCCATACTTCTATACGGTTTTAATAACACCTTTCAAGAAAAGAAAAAAACAATATCACAACCTTATAAAATTAACCGTAATTCTTAAAAATTACCTAGTATCCAGTGTATATTCAAACTTCCCAACTGCTTCATATGTCTTTATTATTGAAAATTTTTAAACATAAAAAAAGATGGGGTACCTGGGTGGCTCAGTCGGTTGAGCATCTGCCTCCTGCCCAGGTCATAATCCCAGAATCGTGGGATCTGCCCCACGGCAAGGCTCCCTGCTCAGCAGAGAGTCTGCTTCTCCCTCTGCCCCTCACCCTGCTCACCCACTCTCTCAAATAAATGAAATCTTAAAAACTATATACATATATATGAAAAAGGCATAATGAACTCCCATATACCCATCACCCAATTCAATATATATTTGCTCATAAACAATCTTTACTTATTTAACCTCACTCCCATTCCAGATTATTTTAAAGCAAATCCCAGGCACATCATGTTACCCATATATATAGCCTGGTACACAAGATGTCCTTTTACAGTCTGATTCAGAATCCAAACTAGAGCCTCACATTGTGGTTAGTTGTCTCTGAAGTCTCCTTTATTCTACAATAATAATTTTTATTGTCCTCCACCCTCTCTTCTTCTTTTCCACTGTCATTTTTTGTTGAAGATACCAAGACTTCTGACCTGAAGAATGACCTCACTTTTTGCATGAGGCTTCCTCATGGTATAAAGTTCTGCTGCTCCATCTCCAGTAGACATTTTAAGCTGGTAGCCAGTTGTGCACGCTTGATTTGATTCAGATTTGAATCTTCAGACACAAAACTTCATAGGGAGTGTTACGTACTCCCCACCGTACCACATCATGAGGCACGTAATGAGTTTGCCCCAGTTTACAGTGATGTCAAGACTGATGAGGAATTCAGCTGACGTCAGCCTGACCCCTCCATGGTAACATTCCCCATCAAGCTTTGACCTAACAGTTTTAGCACCCATTGATGGTTACCTAGATCGATTATATAATTAAGGATTTGAAAAGAATGGCTTTCTAATCCATTATTCCTTTTGCTTATATTAGTTAAAATGTTTCCATAAAAAAAACTTGACTGTGCACATGTCTGACTACCCTGAAATCAATGACTCTCTGCCTTTATCAATTTTTAGAATACTGAATTAATACAACCTCCAATGGTTTATTTCAATATAATTATAAACTCAATCATATATTTGATAGTTTTGAGTCCACTGTAGTATTATCTTTTAGATAATCCCATCTTAGGCCACAGGAATCTGATTAAATTGGGATACAGAAGTGTATGTTTAAAAGAAAATACTGACTTTACCTCAGTCCAGATTTACTGTGAGGCAGACCATTTGCATAACTAATACATAAAGGAAAATACATATATGAGAAAAAAGAAATCCATGAACAGAGAAAAGAATATATTAGGATAAAAGGGTGAACATCAAGAAGACTTCTGACTACATCAAGAGGAAATATTTGATTTCTGCCAGCTGAATTGCAGCACATATCCTCTCCATTCTACAAAATCTTTCCAAATAATACTCCCCACTGTCAACCCAATTCTACAATATCCCACAACGTTACAGCTCCACAGATTTACAGAAGTTTCTCAAAATCTGTTTAAAAAGCAAAACAATTCAGCCTCTCAAAATCATTCTAAGCAAAAAGAGTTTTTTTCCTCTTTCCTTTTCTTCTGTTCTTAAAAACATAAAATTTTCTCATCTTCTATCAGTTTGTACACTGGCAGCCGTGGGAGCCAAAGATGGGGAAAGGGGATACTCTCAGAGACAGTTTCACTTTTAACTGTCCATGCTGTACATGTCATTCTACAGGTCCTGCTGTGAGCTGCTTACTGTTGTCCTTGTATTAAGGGATCTTAATCCCTTGTATTAAGGGATCTGAAAAACTGATGCATTGGGGCACCTGGGTGGCTCAGTGGGTTAAAGCCTCTGCCTTCAGCTCAGGTCATGATCCCAGGGTCCTGGGATCGAGCCCCGCATCGGGCTCTCTGCTCAGCGGAGGAGCCTACTTCCCCCTCTCTCTGCCTACCTGCCTCTCTGCCTACTTGTGATCCCTGTCTGTAAAAATAAATAAATAAAATCTTTAAAAACAAAACAAAACAAAAAACTAATGCATGAAGGCATCTCCTAAAAGTCACCATCCTAAAACTCATGGATAAAACAGCACAGGAACTGCTTTCATCACTATTTGACCCTTAAGAATCCAGGGACACATTGCTATTATCAAGGTAATGCTATTTCTCATTCAGCTTTCACTCTGTTCATGCAGTATCATGGTTCCATAATAACTGGATACTGCAATAAGGTCTACACAGAGAGACTGGTTCCAGGACACAAATCCAAATACATTCATAATTCTCATGGGGAATTCCATGACTGTGTCAAGCTTATTCTCTAGGATTTGCTATGCAATAAACTAGGAGCATGGGCAAGGATCACATGTCGAACTTCTTTGTGACCTGTCAATGTTTCTTACAACTGGAACAAAGTCCCTGAGATCTCCATGCTGGTGAGGAGTTCAACATATTAATTTCTAAAAGATCAGTAAAGTTTCCTCTTCTGAGGCTGCAGTATACTCCCATGATTTTCATAAACCTGCTTCATGCTAGTAACGGCTCTGTATTTCATTACCCCAATCAGTAGCAATTGTGGATCAAGAAGTGGTTTAAGGAGTTTTCTATCCGTTGCATGTAAATTTACATCAGTTGTTCCACAGAAGGTCACAGAGCCAAAAAGCCTCTTTGAGGAAGTCTGGCATTTGATCTCTGGGATGGCCTGATTAGGTCAGGAAAGCCCCCCCACCACCCAAGCCCCCGCTGCTTTGTTTTTGAAATCTGTCTTTCCCTTTGTCCTAAGGCTCCCTTTTTTCAGCTCCTTCAAGAGCCCCTGGAGCCACTGAAGACCCCTGGCTCCAGAGGAGAGGACCAGACTCACTACACAGTAACTGATATATTCACAAACAGTCTAATATAAGCACTGAAGGGTTAGTTGGTGCTTTGGGAAAGAAACCAACAGTGACTGAGTAAAAATCTACCAGAGAAAGTACTCAACTGCCTAATTTCTTTGCTCTCAAAAGGACTGAAGAGTGACACATTCAGAGATTTCTATAGATAGGGCTCATGGATGAAGATGCCATCCCAAAGAATAACACTGCTCCATTTGGAGTATTTTGTGGAACCTGTAACCACCATATTTTCTGCAGCAATGCCGGAGTTTAGGTAGAACCTCACACATTTCATATAGTCCCCATCATTGGCACAGCCGCATGATACTGGACAGGTCTTCAAGGTAGGCCTAGATACCAAAAAGATCTTCACAGTTAGATCTTCCAAGGGTGGTGAGAGGGTTAAAGAGGAACAAAAATGAAGGTCAAAGAAACTTTAACAGGTCTCAGACAAAGAAAACTGGGTATGAATGGTCATTGAAAGTGTGTAGAGGCATTCCACCATCTGTGATTTTCCCGAGATTCCTTCGTCACACATGTGGCCATCCGCTGGCATTGGGTGGCCTTCAGTTGCAAGGAAAATTGCCTCTTCCCTTGGTTCAGATCTTTGTATGATCTATCCAGATAAAGGACAGCCCCTAAGAATCTACTGTTGCTCATTGCCAGAAACCTGAGAAGCAAAATGTCCCACCTGGGTCTTGAACAAGCATGGGGCCATGTAAGCATTTCTCCTGACCAACATCTACTCCATCTCTGCAATTTCCTCGTTCATTCCCAAAGGACTATCTCAAATGACTCAGCCCCATAGACATTTTTCAAAAAGAGCCAAGCAGCAACAGTGCAGTATTGCTCAAGCTCTTTAAAATTCATGACATAGGTACTTCTCAGGTCTCTAAATCCATAGGCTATCAAGAGACAAACAGGACTCCTGACAATCAAGTCAGATATTTGACTACAAGGATTGGCTTTGGCCATGGGCTGTCTTCACCTTGTGGTGGGCGGGGGTAGAGGGGTTGGTGCTCAATGACAATCATCTGGCTCTGGTAGAGCCCAGAGTCCTAGACCACATTGTCCTGCCTGCTCAGCTATTCATGTGTGTTGCCTATATACTTATCCCAGAGCCAAGCCTCGTGCTTAGCAGGGATACTAAACAGCTCCTCCCTGCCCCACCACCTCCTTCTCTGTGGTCTCTGCTGCTGAAATGGCAACTTAGCATCCTCATGAAATTACTATTTCTCGCACCATATCCTGGATGAAATGCACCTCCACTTTGCAGGGCTTGACAAACAGGCCATGCTCTCCTACTTTTCCGATTGTGGCTTTGCCAGCCTTCTACAAAGCTGCACTAATTTACTGACTTATTCCAAGCCTCAGTGGAGACAGACATACATTCCAGTTCAATAATTCAGTGTTATTTTAAGATGTGACGAAAAGGATCTGAAGAGTCCAGAGTTATCTATCAGGCCAGAAAGAGGCTGTACCGTGTGTGTGTGTGTGTGTGTGTGTGTGTGTGTGTGTGTGTCTCGTAAGTGCTGAAGCCGACATACTGCTTCACTGCTTAAACAATGGGCTGTCAATCAAATACCGTTGCATCGTGTGCGTGCGTGCGTGTGTGTGTGTGTGTGTGTCATAAGCGCTGAAGCTGACATACTGCTTCACTGCTTAAACAATGGGCTGTCAATCAAATACCGTTGCATCGTGTGTGTGTGTGTGTGTGTGTGTGTGTGTGTGTGTGTGTTGTTAAGTGCTGAAGCCGACATACTGCTTCACTGCTTAAACAATGGGCTGTCAATCAAATACCGTTGCATCTTACCCACCCAGGTGTGCACATCATGGCCTATACTTGGAATCCTTGATCTTCACATCCAGTCGCTCTCAGCAGCCTCCACCTTTTACCATCTACTCCATGGAGAAGGCCCAGCTAATTCAGATAACTACCACAACATACTGCCCTACCTATGCAAGTCACACCCTGTTATTAGATCATTTGATATGATCCTAAGAGTCTTTCACAGCGCCCCTGATTCCTGACACAAGACATTCCAGGCTCATCTTTTCCATCTCCCCCAGACCTGGAATCAGCCACTTCTCCAAGGAGTCATGAATCCCTCTAGTGGAGCAAAGTATTGAACGTGGATAGTAAGTCTGCTCATTGGTACGGAGTTGTCATTGTTTCTTTGCCTTGTGAGTATTTAGACTAAACTTACATGCAAGCCTGGTAAAAAAAAAATGCAACTTACAGGCAAAGGAAACAGCTTCCCATTTACTTTTATACATAGACTATTGGGATAGTTGTCTTCTTGAGGACAACTTGTCTCTGCCAGGCAAAGTCTGTATTAAAGAAAAGAAAAAAAGAAAATTGTTCTTAAAGAGTATACCCAAACATATTTACATATTTCAAGTTCATGACTATATGCACATAGTTAGCAAGTATAAAATTAACAGAAAATTTCAAACTCACCTCAGCTGAACCTGGACTGTATAATCTCTCCTACCACCTGGCAAAAAATCCCTATTGGAAAGAGAAAGAAACTGGGTTGAGAAGGCACAATGAGAATTCACAGGAACATTCATGCAAAAGCATTGTTAATATTTTTGTTCTTATTCCTAAAGATTAATACTCCCCTACCAACAGCACAAGACTTAATCAAAACACTATAGTGATGAGAACCCCTCATTTACTTAACATTTAGTCATGTCTTTATGGCAATTTTAAGGTATTTTCAATTCACAGGAACTTTCGTGATGCAGTATTTATTTCAATAGGCAACAGATTTGGTTAACATAAAAAGAAGTACCCTCGGTTCTAAAGGAGATTAATAAATTAATTTGTTTGCTCATAATCGCTCTTACCTTGGCTGAGCATTTTATTTTATTTTTAAAGATTTTATTTATTTATTTGACAGAGAGAGAGATCACAAGTAGGCAGAGAGGCAGTCAGAGAGAGGGGGAAACAGGCTCCCTGCTCAGCAGGGAGCCCGATGTGGGGCTCGATCCCAGGACCCTGAGACCATGATCCGAGCTAAAGGCAGAGGCTTAACCCCTGAGCCACCCAGGTGCTCCCTTGGCTGAGCATTTTAATCATGTGACTTTTAAAAAAAAAATACGTAAGAACTCATTCACTAGACTATCGGTCTGGAATGCAGAGTGAGCTTTAGTTTTTATAGCATGTGACTCTATTATAGAACCAAAATGAAGAACGAGTGCCTGGAGTCTCAGCATCTCTGTACCATGGCAACTTCATAATTAAGTATCCAAATAAGGACACAGAACCTCTTAGAATTTCTACATGAGAACCTAATAGAGTCCCATATAAAATATTTTTGGCACTGAACCTTCCAAAGCCTTGTCACTAAGGAGCCCACAGTGAAGCGGCACTGTGATTGCTTGGGAGCTTGTCAGAAATGCAGAATCTCGGGCCCCACCGCAGACATGCAAAATTAGCATCGGCACTTTAACGAGCTCCCCAAGTGACATGAATGCACGTTATAGTGTAGAAGTATGTCCTTAGCCATTATCATCAATCTTGGACTAAGTCAAGGAGAAGAGTACTAGAAATCAGTCCTTTCTTAAGAGTACATTTTGCCCCCACTTTGCTCTAACTGGGCCAGTGTTCTGTCACTATGTTCACTGGAAGGCAGTAAAGCACCACAGTGACCAGCTTGAGTTCTACAGTCCCAAACTGTAGGACCTCCCTGTGCCTCTGTTTCTACGTCTATTAAAGACGGAAAATTATGAAGCTGTTGCAATGATTAGATGTGTTAATGATACATGTAAAGTGCCTGGAAGTATAAAGTGCTCACTCAACCAGTGTGGGCAGCCGGCGGCTATGATTATTAACTCTGCTTTGACTTTCCCTCGCCAGTAGCCTCCACCTTCTCAAATGTCTATTCAAAATAATCCCCATGCTCTAGACAACACTGACCTCTTGTGAGTAACCCATATCATTCCCCTCATATAAATCAAAAAACGTTTCAGTCTAGGTGCTGGTTTAGCAACAAAGACACAATATTTGCTCTCAAAGGTCTCATGCTAGTAGGTAATAGATATATGCTACTAAAATAAAATGTGGCAAATGTTATGGTACTTTACAAAAAAACAGGTGCTACGGAAAGGAAAAGATGCAAGTTTTACTTTGTCTTAAAAGTTCAACGCATTGGGGCACCTGGGTGGCTCAGTGGGTTAAAGCCTCTGCCTTCGGCTCGGGTCATGTTTCCAGAGTCCTGGAATCGAGCACCGCATCGGGCTCTATCCCAGGGTCCTGGGATCGAGCCCCGCATCGGGCTCTCTGCTCAGCAGGGAGCCTGCGTCCTCCTCTCTCTCTGCCTGCCTATCTGCCAACTTGTGCTCTCTGTCTGTGAAATAAGTAAATAAAATCTTTTAAAAAAAAGTTCAAGGCATTTATCACAGTCCAGTCAAACTAGAAAATAAGGTTTGTACAGCAGTGGTTCTGCCTATTTCTACTTAAACAAAATTCCATCATTAACAGTGACTTCACTGGTGCAGATTCTCAGCAAAAGGGAAGGGGGAAGATCAACCAGAGATACCTAACAAAATCTTGTTGGGTGGGAAACATAATCTGAAAAAAGAGCAATGGTAAAAGACATACTAAAAAGATAGCTGGGAAAATGATGTAAAGGGTTTTAAATAGCTTGCCTAAGGATTTATACTTTATGCCAGTAAAGGAAATGAACATAAACTGGGAAATGCAATGTGCTATATATGTTCACAAACATGAGGAGTAATTGAGTAAGCATCTTCTGACATTCAAATTTCTGCCAGTCACCGTTCTAGGAACTTTCACATGTTCATCTCATTCATCAAATATAAAGCAGGCATTTTACTGTATGTCAGGCACTGTGACAGGCTTTGAGAATATAAAAAGGAGTAAGATGTTGTTGTCATCGAGTTTGTAAATTCAAGTAGTCAAATAAATGCAATGAAGCTTTAAAAGAAAGTAAGAATGTAGTACAGTGAGACAAAGTGTGTGTTTGGGGAAATCTGGAAAGGCATCACAGAGAAGCTAAGACTAGAACTGGCCCTAAAATACACTTCAAGTTTGCCAAACAGAATGGGAAGGAAGAGGATATGCAAAGGGACAGAGCTGTAACAGGCCAGCTGCTGGGGAAGAGTAGAGTGACAGGAGATGCAATGAGACAGAAAATGAGTAGAACAAGATGTTGAAGAGAACTGCCAGGAAACAGAGTGTGGACTTCAGGAGCTATCACTCCAGGGTTTTAAACACAAGAGAGAGAACACCGAATGGACTTTAGAACGCTCACACCGTTAGCAGAAGAGTTAGGGGACCACTGCAATTGTATCAGCAAAAGATGAGGGCTCGAAGGCTACTTAAAGGTAAACATCACTGAGTGATATTTAGGCATAAAACAGAATTCAGTGACTGACTAGATACAGAAGGCAGGATAAATAGGGGAGCATCTAGGGTGGGGCCCAGGTTTTGGAATGGGGATAAGGCTACTCACCAGGGTAAGAAGTGCCCCAGCCACTGACTGAGGTGCTGATTATTTTTCTTATGTTACATTGGGTAAATAAGATTCAATGGGCTTTAGTAACTTACCCAGGGGCACAGAGACAGGCCTAAGTGGTTGGGCCAGTATTCACATTCCACTTGGTATTATTCCAAAGACCATGCTAGCTCCTTAAGGACATAGTTGCATCATGTTTTAAATCGTGAAAGAGAAATAAAGGAAGGATCAGTAGAGTGCAGCAAACCGACAGGACGTGGTGGATGAGGTGTGGGATAATACAAAGGGGGCTCTGTGTCTGCGCAAATCCCATTAACGAAATGGGTAGTGGGAAGAAATATACCAAGCACAAATCTCCTTGAAGCCAGTTTATTTTTTCAACTTTCCACCCCTGGTGCTGGGAACACTGCCTGGATCATAATAGGCAGCAAATAAATACATGCCGTGAAGCTAAATGAATAAATCAAAGAACAAAAGATAAACAAGCAAGTTTGGGCAGAACGAAAGTTCAATTCTGAATGTACTGTGCTTGATGTACCTGTGCATCATCGAGGCAGGGACAGTGAATATGGACTCTAGAGCAAAGTGAAGATCTTGCAGCCAGCAACATAAAAATAACAACGCACATTCATGAAAACTATCACAGAGTAGTGAGAAAGGAATCACAGACTGATTCCTGGGAACCCAAAAGAGAAGTCAGTGCGAGAAGCTGAGACGGGATGATTAGGGAGGCACTAGTAGCAGATGGAAGGGGAGTGCTAAAACCAAGAAGAGAACTGAACTCACTGATGAATCTTCACAAGACTTAATAAGAAAAGAACAAAACAATCTGAACCTGAATGTATCCGAGCCTCATTTAGACTTTACTACCATGACATGAGGGGAGAAGCTGGATGCACAGCAGGGGTTCTCTAATTTGTCAGATACTGGGAACACCTGGGGAGCTTTACAAACTGGGTTCCATCCTCGGAATTCTAACTGAATTGGTATGAACGAAACATAGGTATTCAGATTCCTAAAAGCTCTCAGTTGATTCTAATATGCAGCAAAGTGTGAGAACCACAGGCACGGAAGTTAAATGACACCACAAGAAGTACCTCTGGATCCAAATCCAGCATGTGTAATATGCTATGAAGTCAAGGAACCGTTTTTTTCAAGGAGAGTGGTAAGAAATATTCTAAGAACAGAAACAGAGCTCTTTGGAAAAGTGATCTATTCCAGAACTGGGGCAGAGAAATTACAAAATGAACCTAGAGCACCCCGTGGTGCCAAAAAGTAAAGCAGTGCTCAGGAACCGACGGAGACATACCAAAGGGCACAGGAGCCAAATAAAATATCAGCCAATAGCCAGAGGTAGACCAGTCTGTAAACAACATAACTTAAAATTATCACAGCACTGTATTATAATCCAGATTACTCAAGAGCCTACGCAGATACAAGTAAATGACTGAATAAGTAAATGGGGGAGAAGGGACAGCTCTTCCTTACAAAGTAACTCTAATGTGAAAAAGAATAAGGACATCAGAAAATCACTGGAACACAAGAGTGTTTATGACAAAGCAACCGCTGAAGGAAAAGATCCATCAGTGAGTGCTCCATCAGTGGGTAAAACTCTGAAGAGGAACAGAATATGTGCCTTGTCTCAAAGTATCTCCCCCAAGATATTTATTACTAACAAAGGAAAAAAACACAACCCTATAGTGCCAAAATCTAGTAGAGAGTATCTTACCCAAGTGATCAATATTATGTAGCCCAACATGATACACGAAGAAGGGCATATAACTCAAGGTATTCTTGCCAAAAATGCTTAAACTCATGAAAAAATATCAGACAAACCCAATATTTTACAAAATACCTGGCCAGGACTCTTCAAAACTATCAAAAGTTATGAAAGACAAGGAGAACTAAGAAACTGTCACAGACTGAAAGAGACTAACATGAGACTAACAATTAAAGGTAATTTGGGATCTTGAATTGGATCTAGGAATAAAAGTTGATTAGCAAAAAAACTGGTGAAATCTGAATAAAACCTACAGTTTGGTTAACAGTATCATACCAAGGTTAATTTCTTGGTTTTGATAACTGCACTATGGTTATGCAAGTTGAAGCTGGGTAAAGAGTATATCTATTTTCATAACTTTTCTATAAATCTATCATTACTTCAAAGTAAAGTTTTTTAAAAAATCTTGGGAGATAAATAAAAAGTAATTACATGGGCCATGTTTAAATACAGAAACAACTAAGAAAATCTGAATATGGGCTAGTCATTGTTTTATATTAAGGAATTATTATTTTATTGTGATTATATTAAGAACTAATTAAAGATCCACCTTGAGGTATTTCCAGCTGAAATTATACGATGCTTGTTGATTTCCTTTAAAATATTTTAGAAAAGGGGCACCTGGGTGGCTCAGTCAGTTAAGTGTCTGCCTTCAGCTCAGATCATGATCCTGGGGTCCTGGAATCCAGCCCCATGTCCTTGGCTCCCTGTTCAGCAGTGAGTCTGCTTTTTCCTCTGCCCCTCCCCACTGCTGATGCACGCTGTCTCATAAATAATATCTTTAAAAAATATATTTCAGGAAAAAGGTGGGGGGTTACATCCAGACTGCCAAAGTGTTGATAATTACTGAAGTTGGGTAATGGGTACCAAACTTTCATTTCTACTCATGAGGGAGAAGATTTTGTATTATTTTATGTATTATTTTGTATTATTTTATTATTTTATCTGGTTTTATTTATATGTGTATGTGATTTACTTTGTTTTCTTTGGAAGAGTACTACAAATAGCCTTCTATTTTTTTTTTAACTTTTATACATAAGATACATAAAATTTATCATGTTAACCATCTTTAAATGTATAGTTCTGTGGCATTAAGTATACTCACACTGCTGTACAACCACACTACCATCCAGTTCTAGAATATGATCAAAATGTTTAGATGAGATTTAAATTTTAGTCATTCATATTTGGACTACTTAATTCACATAGTTCAAACTTCAAAAACATATAAAAAGGATATAAAGTGAAAACACGATCCCAGCTCTGGTCCCGGTCATCCATTCCCATGTACAGAGGCGGCCGAGCGTATTTGTCTAGACATATTTTAGACACTTAAGCAAATTACACACACATCTACCTTTTTAGGGCAACTGGTAGTAAATTATTCACATTTTGATGGCTTGGTTTTGTTCACTTACAAATGTACCTTGAAATCTGTATCTTTAAACCTGAAACACTCTAAATAATCTCCTTCCCTTAAAGACCCACGCAACATTCTTAAAGTCTTCCCAGACCACCAACATTAATGGTAATCTCATCCTCCTATAAATCAGTTATTTGTAATTACTAAAATTGGATCTCTTCACCTGACACCGTGCAATGCCAAGACCATTTTATGTATATGAACTGGTTCATTAGCAAGAGAGGCTGTACTATGTAATATAGTAATTCGTACCTAATACGGAGTAAACGACCTCAAGCAAGGGATCATCACTGAATAACAAACAAGACTTAAAATTAAGGATAAGGTTTTGGATATAAAATATAATTTTAATAATATAAATATAAGTTTTTTAAAATTTCAATTTGTTCTATTTATTTGTTAGTTGGTTTATTACTATCCCCAAGATTGAAAGTACTTCCAAATTTACAAAAACTCACTGCAATGTCTTGCTCCTGGTGAAATTGAAACACATCAGGCTACATTCATTTTACGTCTTTGATAATTTGCTCCTCTGGATTTTCTGTTTTCTGAAACTCCTATTATTTTGGATATTGGATCTTTTGGACTAATCCTTGTACTGTTTTTTTTTTTTTTTCTTTAATCTTAGTTTTCAACACTTTTCCCCCACCTGTGGAAGAGGCAGTCTATGCAATACTCTGTGAGAGATCAAACTTCACAAGGTCGGAACATACAATCATTTGAGATTTTGACAACAGCACTCTCACTATATGTAAGTATTAGTAAAGATGATATGATTAATGAAAGGATCTAAAACTTTGCCACAGACTCTTCCACATAAAGAGATCATCTTCAGGATGCTAGTGTGCTTTGAAGAGACTTGAGGCCTGTCAGTTTGGATTCACCATCTGAGAGACTGGCTGGGCACATGAAGATATTGAAGACCAAAAAGTCCACCCTTAAATAACTTACGTAACTATGTTGAATACAAAATTTCCAAAACTTAACTAGGGAATCCTCATTTTTGTAAATTATTAACATCTCAGAGAAGATGAGCATTCAAATGAATAGCTGAAAGGAGGTCTTTTGCTCTTCTACTTTTAACTCTACAGTCCCAGAAAAATCATTTAACCTCCTACAGGCGCAAGTTTGTTTATACTGCATCTTTAAGAATGCAATTTTAAAGAGTCACATGCACATTATTAACACCAAAGATGACTATATTTTTAACTGGAAAAGTATACACTACATATTTCCTTTTCTTTCGTCTTACATCTTAGCTCATTTGCTCTTTATAAATGTGTCTATTTTGTTTCTCCAATTTTTCTAAAAGGCAAAGCGAAGAGTACTTTCCATAATTGTTTTTAGATTTCTACTAATTTTACAGTCTTGGTGACCACATAGCTCAGAACAGTGCCAGTTTATTAATTTTTCTGGGATAAGAACATGATATGTACATTAACTCTTAAAGTGCCTCAGATTGAATGATAACATTTATAGACATCCTATCTTTGGGCTGTTGCCACAAATTCTTTTTTATGTTGCTTTATTTGGAATAAAATTTTCATTAAAAAAAGTTATTGCCAAAAAGTAATTCAAAAAAATAAGCTAGGGTTTTAGTCAAAGATTAAACTGTTTTCTAATACAGAGTATTTATTAAGTATTTGGCTAACTTTAGTCAATGTATACTATGCTTTCTTAAGGAACAATAGTCCAACTGTTATGGACTGAACTGTGTCTCCCCAAAATTCAGGTTGAAGACCTGACCCCCCAATCTGACCTTATGTGAAGATGGGAACTTTAAAGAGGTAATTACAATTAAATAAGGTTGTATGGGTGGGGCCCTAATCCAATACAAGTGGTGTCCTCATAAGAAAAAGAGACACCAGGAATGCACAGGCACACAGAAGAAAGGTCAAGTGAGGCAAGAAGGCAGCCTCTACAAGTCAAAGAGAGAGGCTTCAGGACACACCAAATCTGTTGACACCTTAATCTTGGACTTCAAGCTTCCTGAATTTTGAGAAAATAAATTTCTGCTGTTTAAGCACACAGTCTGTTGTACTTTGTAATGGCAGCCCTAGCAGACTAATACAGCAACATTCATGAAGAAACATATTCCAAACATTCCTCTTACCTGGATATGCATATCTCTCTAACTTGCTGAGGTGTCAGAGCAAAAATAAAAAACTTCTCTTGAAATCGCTGAATACTGCTTTGAACTGGGGAGGGAAAAAAAAGATAACATTCCAATATCCAATATCCAATATCCAAAAGATAACACACCCAAGGATGTAACCATGTGCGATAACAATGCATTTCTGATCAAGAGTCTGCCAAATTCTTTAATTTTTATGGTTAAAATACTCCAAAATAAAGAAGTAGTAAAATGCAGAGTCATCTTGGAATCATGAAAGCAAAGTCACTCTAAAACAGGCTCAATTTTAAGCAGTCTTTATTCTAAAACACTACTTATAACATAGTCAAAATGTAACACAAATGTTCGAAATTCTGTTTCTGTTCTGTTCTGTTTTGAAACTGTTCATTTCATCTTTGACTACAGCATTATCAAATGAAAACCTGAGGAAGTCAAAAACTCTGCCTAGAACTCTATACCAGATTTAGGTGGTCTTTCGTTTGTTTTCTTTGTTTTGTTTTCAACCCTTTAGATTCAGCTATACAAAAACATTCATATAAAACTTTAAACTTAATACAAGCATGCTAACCACAAAAAAAAATTTTTAAACTTAAAACTTCAAAGTTGATCAAATGAAGATACATAATTATTTATATATAGAAGTTAAAAAAATTACCTAATGAAGTTATCCTTAACTATGTTATTAAAAACTGAAATCTTTTTACTTCACAAAGAACTTTGTAACACATTTATCCTGATAAAAGTATTATTCAATGATGTTCTAGCACCCATTAAAACAAAATAAAGCAAAAGCCAATATAGAGACCTTCCGCTTCCAACAAGTATTGCAACAACTCACAAGGCAAAATGGCTCTTGTGTGTGTTACTGGCCACAGTTTTCCTGATACATAAAGAAAAATAAACAAGATGCCAGTTAAATGTCCAATGTCAGAGGTCTTCCATCCACAAGTCACACCAAATCAAGAAAAATATTAACTCCTTGAGTAAAACACTCTTCTTTAAGCACAGTTTATTATAGCAATCATGTGCCTAGAAATCATGTCATAAACTGGCCGGTATTTTCCCAGAACATTAAAAAAAAAAAAAAAAAAAAAGGGAGGAAGAAAGAGGAATGCGGTAAAAGCCTAAAAATGAAACAAAATGCTAAGTCACAAACATAGGAATGGGGCAAAAAACAAAAAAACAAGAAAACAAAAAAACACAAACAAACACACAGCTACAGCAGTAAGTCCCCCCATTTCTTCAATCCTCTTCACCCCTCAACTCTTCCTTGTACAGATTTCACTTTCCACTCTCTACCCACAGTTAAGGTCATTTCCCATTCTCTACCCACAGGTAAGGTCACCAATGACCTCTTAACTGTCAAATTCAATAGCCTTTGATATTACAGGTGAACACTCTGCATTCTAAATTGGAGCTAATGGTATAAGCACTCAGTCTATCTAGTCAGAAACCTCAGAATGTCTTACATAGGTACAAATGGAGTTCCAGAAGGAGAGAACAGGGCACTTAAAAAAAAAAGTTTCAGAAATAATGAAAGAATACTGATTAAATCAAGGGGTAAGGGAGAGCCCTTACAGATCAAAGCTCAAGCAAATACAAAGAAAGATACCTAGTCACATCAAAATCAAACTACTGCAAACCAATAATGACAAAAATCTTGTGAGCAGTCAGGGAAAAAGAAACATTACATACAAGGGAAAAACAATATGAATAAAGGCAATGTTAAGTCAGAAGTTGTCTTTAGAGTGGTGAGAGGAAAAAAACTGTCACTGGAAAATTCAATACCCTTCAAAAATAGGGTTAAATAATGACGTTTAGATAAATGAAGGCCAAGAGAACTTGTGAAAGCAAATACGCAATACAACTAACAGAAAAGGAAATTGTCAGGATAAAAAGAAATATCAAATTCAAAACCAAATTTTCAGGAATGAAAACCACTCTAAACAGTAAGTAAGTGGTAAAAATAAAAGAATATGCTGTTCTTTTCTTATGATTTCTTTTAAAAGATAACTGTGTAAAGCAAAAGCGGTGTGCCTGGGTGGCTCAGTCAGTTAAGAGCTGCCTTTGGCTCAAGTCATGAACTCAGGGATCTGGGATGGAGCCCCATGCTGGGCTCTCTGCTCAGCAGGGAGTCTGCTTCTCCCTCTCTTTCTCAAGTAAATAAAATTTTTTTTAAAAATAAAAATAAAGCAAAAGTAGTGGCACTGAAAGGCAGGATTTTTAAAGATACACAGAAGGAAAAGATACCACAGTAGCAAAACGATAAATAAAATTACCTGCCCAAGAGCTGTGATTCTTGCTACATTCTGATGAGCTTAATTACCACAGATCTCCCCAGAGACAGATTCATTCCTTGTGCACGAAAAATCTACTACTGGAAAGCTGGGTGCAGGACCTTGGGTCAAATCAGCCAGTGTAAAGACCAGTATTTGAGGTCTTGCCTGGGTGGCTGAAGTCAACCCACCCAGAAAAGAACCCATATACCATGAAACTTACATTGAACCTGGAAGGCTTCCATAGTCAGCATATGCCAACATTTATGTACAATTTACAGAACTTGCATCCTAATGTTAGCAGTTTATATCTTAACATATTTTTACAGAAGCTTTAATTTTTCTGATATAGTTTTGAACTTATTTATTTGATGCTAAATTTTCTGTCCTAAATATAATACCAAATAACTACAGTGTTTCTTTGGGCGGGGGTGAGGGGGGGAGATGCTTTATCACTGTGTACCATAACTGAAATCCAGGAACTTACAGCAACAACAAAAAAAAGTGCTAATAAAATCCAATTTGTATTAACTCTGACAATTTTTATATAAGACAATTTTAAGCACACTAAACATGCCATGAGGCCGCTCCCTCCCTTGCTCTCTTTCTCAAGTAAATAAATATTTTTTTTAAAGATTTAAACACCTATTAGCTAGACTATCATTTTAACACAGATCAGGAAAAAGAATGGCAAGATATAAAGCAGAAAGATGCAGGTGTTTTCTTCCCATTAGTGTCTCCAACTTGGGATCAGAAAACCAATTCTACACAGACCCCCATGAACACTTTTTATGTTAATAGCAGCAAATGACAACAGAAAAAGACCATGACTCAGGGACATGAATCAGATATGAATTTATTCAAATGCTTTCCTTTTTTAACAATCCTCCATAAGGTAGATTCTATTTTTCAAAGACAGCTACAACAATATTTCCCATCAGCCCTTCTTATAACCTTGACATTCTTTCAATGAATCAGTGGGGTCTTTATCACCCTCCCTTTGAACCTGAGTGGCCCTTTGCGACTGCTTTAATCGATGCTATGCATCAATTACATAGCATAAGTGATGCTATGTAACTTGCAAGGCTAGGTCACAAAAGCACCATGCACTTTTCCCCTGCTCTCTGGGGGCACTCTCTTGAGACCCAGCTCTCACGCTCTAAAAGCACAAACCAGACCAAAGGAAAAAGCCTTATATAGGTACTCTAAGCCAATAGCCAAGCTGAGTCCAAGCCAAAGGTAGCACAGACACCAGACACGAGTGAAGATGCCAGATGTCAGATAATCCCATTTCTAGCCATCAAGTCACCCCCAGCCCCTAAGTGTTCTCAGCTAAGACCGCAGACATACTCAGCTGGAGACAAGCTATCTACACACTGTTGGAACTTCCAATTCCTAACAGGGAAAATCCACGAACATAGTTAGATGGTTGTTTTACACCACTGTACTTTGGAATGATATACATATTATACAGCAATAACAAAACTATGCTACAGCCTCATGAAGTAATTTAAGTATTAATCTTAAAAATTCCAAGTTCTATCATTATAGCTAGCTTCATTTATAATTACTAATTGATGAGGCCTGCTAATATGACATAATATGACTCTTCTAGACTTGTGGATATTGGTTTTTTTCAACCTTTTTAAACATAAGTGGACCAGAATATTACTGTATCCTCATCTTAGCCCTACTGGTTATTATTTGAGTGATAGGAAATTCACATAAGAGATCCAAGTCCTTCTTTACTCCTCAATTAAAATGGAAATAACATTTTGCTCATCTGCTTTAAGATTTTATTTATTTGAGAGAGAAAGAGCCCCACATGCACAAGAGCAGTTGCGGGGGGGGGGGGCGGAGGGAAAGGGACATGCAGACTCTGCACTAAGCATGGAGCCTGATGCAGGGTTCAATCTCAGGACCCTGAAATCATGACCTGAGCCAAAATCAAAAGCCAGACATTTAACCAACTGAGCCACCCAGGCACCCCTCATCTGCCTTTTAAAGGCTATTTTGTGGGGTCATGATCTCAGGATCATGAGATCAAGTCCTGCATCAGGCTCAGCACTCAGTGCAGAGTCTTCTTAAGATTCTCTCTCAGGGTGCCTGGGTGGCTCAGATGGTTAAGTATCTGCCTTCAGCTCAGGTCATGATCCCAGAGTCCTGGGATTGAGCCCTGCATTGGGCTCCCCGCTCAGTACAGAGTCTGCTTCTCCCTCTCACTCAGCCCCTCCCTCCCTGCTAGGGCTCTCTTTCACTTGCTCTCTCTTAAACAACTAAAATACTTTTTAAAAAATTCTCTCTCCCTCTCCTCCTCCTCCGAGCTCACACACACACACACACACAAAAATCTTTTTTAATTTAAAAATAAAGGCTGTTTTGTGGATCAAATGCAATAACATATGTGAAAGCATTCTGAAAACAAAATAGCACTATACATATGTGATGTATTTTCAGTTCCAGAAGTCCTAATCAAAAATGTCTGCTTTTAAGCTCGGGATAAGAAGTCTGTAACATACAATGGTAAAAATATTAGATTGGTAACAGACTTCTCCACAGAGATCTGGCAGGCCAGAAAGAACTGGCATGATATATTCAGAGCACTAAATGAGAAAAACATGCAGCCAAGAATACTATATCCAGCTAGGCTATCACTGAAAATAGAAGGAGAGATAAAATGCTTCCAGGACAAACAAAAGCTAAAAGAATTTGTAAACACCAAACCAGCCTTACAGGAAATATTGAAAGGAGTCCTCTAAGCAAAGAGAGAGCCTAAAAGTAATAGACC